CACAAACTCATCCTTGAGTTCTTGATGGGTCTGCTGCACACACCTGCGACACACCGAACGTTCGACACAGGACAAAATAGAAACCGCGCACGACAAAATAGAAACCGCGCGCGAGACACAAACGACCGCGTAACACGCGTCTAGCGATAACTCGCTATTGACTCGACACACACACTCGACATCATGACTCAACATTCACACACAATTATAAGCATGAAATATATATTATCCCATGCCCTCATACCATTCCATACACACACACATGCACGCACACGGACAACAAGCCGAGTGCAAACCGTAGGGTTGCACCAACAGTCGGACGCAGGGTCAGGACCGTCAGGAAGAGAGGACGCCGGAGGAGAGGTGGAGTGAGGCCAGTGGAAGACGGAAGACTAAGAACCTGGCAAAGGGCCGAGTCAGGCGGTGGCAGGGAAGACTGCGGCTGCGGGTAGAAAAAACGGTCGGCTCGGCGCAGTACCCGTACCGTCAGCACCTCCAGTACCTCCAGTAGCACCTCCAGCACGAGCAGCACCACCAGCTCCAGCAGCTCCAGCACCTCTAGTGCGAGCACCTCCAGGACCAGCAGCTCCAGCACCTCCAGTACCTCCAGTACCACCAGTTCCATCACCTCCAGCACCAGCAGCACCACCAGCTCCGGCAGCTCCAGCACCGCTAGTACGAGCACCTCCAGGACCAGCAGCTCCAGCACCTCCAGGACCTCCAGCACCACCTGCTCCAGTGCCTCCGGCACCAGCAGCACCTCCAGCACCCGCACCTCCAGCACCTCCAGCACCACCAGCTCCAGCAGAACCTCCAGTAGTACCTCCAGCACCACCAGCTCCAGCACCTGCAGCACCTCTAGCAGTACCTCCAGCACCAGCAGCTCCAGCGTCTAGGTAACTCCAAGCTCCAGCACCAGAGCGGCCTCGCCGAACGACCCACTCACGAAGCTGCTGCGGTGAGGGTGTCTCGAGTCGACTAGGTGGCTGCTGCTGTCCAACACCAGGACCTGCAGCAGGAGCACCCACGGCCCCTCCACCACTAGGACTCGCAGCACCCCCAGTCTCAGCACCCCAAGAACCAGTACCCCCAGTCTCAGCACCCCCACTCTCAGCACCCCCAGTGTCAACACCCCCAGGTTCAGCACCTTCTGCGTCCTCACCCCCAGTGTCACCACCCCCAGCAGCACCAGTGTCCACAGCTACAGGCTGCAGAGGTGGTGAAGATGGTCGAGGCGGAAAACCAGGAGGGATCTCCAAGCGTGGAGAGCGACGAGTGGCCGCCGTGTCGTCAGCGGCAAGGTCACCCCCCTCAGTCGGGCCAGAGGAGTCAGAAGAGATCTCCAAAGGCTCAACCAAGGGGGTTGGGTCTACCTGAGACACACCTGAGGGAGCAGGACCCTGTGTGGGGAGGGGGTCTAGCGGGGGGGGAACTGGTACCAGGAAGAGAGGCGCCAGGGGGACCGGGTGGGACGCGTGCGGGTGGAGCCTGTAGAAACAGACCGACTCGTCAAAGGTGACGTCCTGGGAGGAGAACACGCGACGCGAGCGAGGGTAGTAAAACTTCCACGACGAGGCGTCGGTGGGAAAGACCAGGAAGGCGCAGCGGAGAGTGCGAGGAGAGAGCTTGCTCGTGGTGGTATCGCGAACAATAGAGAGCGCGCCCCATACCCAAAACGCCGACGCATCGCCAACCTCTCCCGTCCAACGGAGTGTGGGCGAGGTCTCTGGTAAAGAGACACGGGGCCAGAGGTTGAGCTGATGCGCGGCATATCGGACCGAAAACGGCCACAGAAAATGGGGAGCAGCCGCATGGATCATGGAGGTACGAGCAACCTCCATGATCAAGCCAATACAACGCTCAGCAATCCCATTTTGTTGTGGAGAGGCCGGAAGCGTGAACGTCTGGCGGATGCCCTCGTCTCGACAGAACTCCGCAAGGAGGCCGGAAGAGAACTCACCGCCTCTGTCAGAGTGCAGACGCAGGACTGGGAATTCCCGCCGGAACCGCTCGCGCAGCTGATGACGAGTAGCGTGGATCCAGGGGATCAAAACACCGCTGACGTCCGCCTTGCTGCGCAAGGGGAAGACAATGGTGTAGCGCGTGTAGTCGTCAACGACCAGCAGGAAGTAGCGCTCCTGGTCCGTCCCACTGACGAGGGCCGGGCCCCACACGTCCATGTGGAGAGTCTGCAGAGGAGCAGTGGTCGGAGGAAACGAGGAGGAGTGAGGAGCAGCGCGCTGCTGCCCCTCGACGCAGGGAAGGCACGGCGGGGCAGGCGAGCGCGGGAGGGGGGGCATGGACCTTGGGAGGCCAGAGACAAGGAGACGGGAGTGCATGCTGCGGAGACACGGTAGAGAGGAGTGACCGAGTCTGTGGTGCCAGAGAAGAGTCTGGTGGGAGAGTACCCGACACGAGCACGACGCAGCGAACTGACCAGACGCAGACACATGACTCAACGCAGCCACCTGACCTGACGCAGCCACTTGTGCACACGAAGTGGTCAGGGTGTACAGACTGGACCCAGGCTGCCGAGTGAATGTAGCAAGGTGACGGCCAGTCCGTGAGCACGTACAGATTGCCACACGCTGCCCTCCAGGGGTAAAGGTATCAACCCAAACATCCTGAAGGATTGCATTGCTCACCAAGTTCGTCGAGAACGAGGGGAGGTGGAGGCCTGAAAGAGAGCCGGAGGGGACTGCCGGACACGGGAGGACAGTGGAGGCTCGTGCGACGACGGGGCCCCCATAGGGGTAAGCCAGTGAGACTGGGATAGGTGCAGCAAGTGGTGTGACTGTGGTGCAATCACGAAAGAAGCAACGAGACGCGCCAGGGTCAAGTGTGAAAGTGTGCAAGGCGTCAGCTGAGGCAGCAGACTCACTAGCACCTGTGGCAGCAGTCACACTAGCACCTAGAGCGGAAGCAGACTCACTAGCACCTAGAGCAGCAGCACCGACACTACTAGAGACGCGTCGCTGAGAAAACCACTCCCGAGGCTGCTGCGGCGAGGGGGTCTCTGGCTGACTCTGCTGCCGCTGTTGTCGAGTACCTCCAGGAACATATCCTCCACCACCAGGACGGCCTCGCTGAATAACCCACTCACGAAGCTGCTGTGACGAGAGAGTCTCCTGGTGACGAGACTATCGCTGCTATCCAGTACCACCCGCACGCAAGTAATCCCAAGCTCCAGGACCAGAGCGGCCTCGCTGAATAACCCACTCACAAAGCTGCTGCGGCGATAGAGTGTTCGGGTGAGGCAGTGGCTGCTGCTGTCCACCCCTAGACGCTGCTACGACCGTGATAGTAGCCATGACAGGCAGTGGCAGTCAGTAGCAGCAGCTCAGGTGGCAGCAGCAGTGCAGGTGGCAGCAGTAGCGCAGGCGGCAACAGCAGCTTATGTGGCAGCAGCAGCGCAGCAACAGCAGCAGCACAGCAGGTCAGGGCGGCGCGCGGGCCTAAGGGCAGGGCGCGCGGCTCGTGGGCTGCAGGGCAGGGCAGCGCGGCTCTAAGGGAAGGGCGGCGCGCGGGCCTAAGGACAAGGCGGCACGCGGGCCTAAGGGCAGGGCGGCGCGCGGGCCTAAGGGCAGGGCAGCGCAGCGCGCGGGCTGCAGGGCAGGGCGGCGCGCGGGCCTAGGGGCAGGGAGGCGCAGCTCGCGGGCTGCAGGGCAGGGCAGCGCGCAGGCCTAAGGGCAGGGCGGGCTGCAGGGGCGAGCGCGGGCTGCAGGGGCGAGCGCGGCTGCAGGGGCGAGCGCGGGCTGTAGGGGCGAGCACGGCTGCAGGGGCGAGCGCGGGCTGCAGGGGCTAGCGCAGGCTGCAGGGGCGAGCGCGGCTGCAGGGGCGAGCGCGGGCTGCAGGGGCGAGCGCGGCTGCAGGGGCGAGCGCGGGCTGTAGGGGCGAGTGCTGCTGCAGGGGCGAGCGCGGCTGCAGGGGCGAGCGCGGGCTGCAGAGGCGAGCGCGGCTGCAGGGGCGAGCGCGGGCTGCAGGGGCGAGCGCGGGCTGCAGGGGCGAGCGCGGCTGCAGGGGCGAGCGCGGGCAGCAGGGGCGAGCGCGACTGCAGGGGCGAGTGCGGGCTGCAGAGGCGAGCGCGGCTGCAAGGCAGGGCGGCGCGCGGGCCTAAGGGCAGGGCAGAAAAAAAAATACGGGCAGGGCAGGGCGGAACGTTCGGTGGGCCCTAAGAACGATCATGCTCTAATACCATGTTAAAATAGGAAGACAGGCATGATGAATGACTAGCAACAGGGAGATACACGTATGAAACCCTAACTGGGGTTGTACCCTATACTGAGCATCTCACTGTAGCCTAGCAGAACTAAGAACATACAAATATGTTTTGACAGTATGTTCCTGACTCTCCAGGTTGTTCCAGACGCCCAGTATGATATGGAAAATAAAATGACAATACTCACATGATAGAGCTTCAATTCCCCATCACTCCATGCTCCACAAAGGACAACCAAGACAGACCGCCCAAACCAGGCCTGGCTGGCAGGCAAGAAGCTGCAACACTGGCTCAGGCCTAAGAATCATAGGAGCTTATTAGGGTTTTTCCTATCAACCTTTCCTTACCACGTTGACTTTATGACAATGTCAGGGGTAGCAAAGCAAGCTACCGGTAGTTGATAACATTGTCCAAGTGCCATTTGTCAATTTTACTGTAGCAGTCTCATGCGCACACAACACGCAGTCCCATACGCATAATATCCTGATGAAAAATAACTGTTTGCAGTAACCACCACAACCAAGCAGTCGTTGCTGAGCAAGCACGTCCTGCTGGAAACAAACAAATCTGGAATATATGAAAGGAAAACCAAAATGAGCCATCAGCAACTTAATCTCTGCTGCTGCAGATCTAGCTTTAGGTTGCCTATGGCCAGCAGCACTGGGGGAAGACAATGCACGTGAGTGAGCATCTGCGTAGTTCTTCCCAGGTACTTCACAGGAGAGTCGCTGGCTTGGACATGTCTCCTGCAATGCCACCCAAATGTGGGGCGTATGTGTGGTTACTCAAACCACATGTAGCTTGCAGTGTGGGTGATCTGTAACCTAACCTGCTCCGGCTGAGACAAGCTGGTTCTTGAGGAATTCTCAAAAACACCCACGTCGATTGTGTGGTGCCTCTGCTCTGTTCGATGCTCCCTGCCTCTCTGTGGGTGTAGAATGGGCCGACTAGGGGGATTGGGGGAGTGGGGTTGGGTGATGAGCGGTTCTAAGGGCTCTAGAGGCTCGAGAAGCTCTAGGGCGAGAGGAGGGTGATGGCGATGCTGACAGCTACCAGTAGCCCTGTTGTCCACGTCATTGCGCTGGCGAATACCAAGGGATCCACACGCAGCCACGTAGGCACTGCCTGCACAGGTGGCTCGAGGACCACCTTCTGACCTGGACCAATCCGAGCCACTGCTTCTGCTGCCCCTGCTGCTGCTCCTGCTGTTCGGCTAGCTGCCTGCCGTTGTGTTGCTGTTCCTGCTGTTCCTCTATTCCGATCCACATCTACAGCCACTGCTGGTGCAGCAGCGGCAGTAGCAGTGGTGGCGGTGGTGGTGGCGGTGGCAGTGGCGGTGGCAGGAGTGGCAGCAGCGGCTGCAGCAGCAGCAGCAGTAAGAGGTTCTGTCTCACTCCCCCCCTCCTCACTCACACTCCCACTGTCACTCTCCGAATCCACCACCACTCGAGCCCCCTCTACAATCACATCCCCCTCCCGCTCCACCTCCCCAGCAGCGCCATCCGGCATCTGCTTATAAGCACCCGCCCCTTCCATATCACTCTCCATCACTCCCGCTCCTCCTTCAGACGAATTCGGCGAGTGCTTGGGAGAAAGCGCAGCAATCACATTCTGAATCAGACCCGCCAGGCTTCTATCAGCGCTGGAGGAGCTTCGGAGCGGTGTGGAGGTGTGGGGAGTGGTGGAGAGAGGCGTGGAGGAGGGAGGGGAGGAGGAGACGAGGAGGTAGCCCCGCGATTCCAGCTCTTCGGGGGTGGGGTAGGTGATGAGGGCGGCCCGGAAGAGGAGCGTTGGGACGACGAGGTTGATGAAGCCCTGGCAGATGATGGCCACCCAGTTGCAGAACTGCACTAGAACCTGAAGGGATGGAGAGGGGTGCAGAGGGATAGTGAGCATGGGTTAGGGGTTGCTGGGACGACGAGGTTGATGAAGCCCTGGCAGATGATGGCCACCCAGTTGCAGAACTGGACTAGAACCTGAAGGGATGCAAAGGGATACAGAGGGGTGCACGCAGTGGAGAAATGGTGGGTAACGGTTTGTGGCTGCTTGGATGAGGTTGATGAAGCCGTGGCAGATGATGGCCACCCAGTTGCACAGCTGCACGAGCACCTGAAGGGATGCAGAGGGATGCAGGGGGATTGGGGGGTTGTGGGCAAGGGTTAGTGGGTGCATGGATGAGGCTGATGAATCCCTGGCAAATGATGGTCACCCAGTTGCACAGCTGCACGAGCACCTGAAGGGATGCAGAGGGATGCAGGGGGGTTGGGGGGTTGTGGGCAAGGGTTAGTGGGTGCATGGATGAGGCTGATGAATCCCTGGCAAATGATGGCCACCCAGTTGCACAGCTGCACGAGCACCTGAAGGGATGCAGAAAGGTGTGGGGAGCAAGGAAGAGGGAGTGGAGGAAAGGAATTGCGAGCAGGGGAGGGATGGTACAACCGCCCAGAAGAAGGCGGCAGAGTCGGAGAAGGCGGCACGTGTCTCACCTCAGCTTACCCCCACATGACTGGCTGTGTCTCACCTGGGCTTGGTAGAAGAATGCAGTGAGTAACCATGGCGCTACAACCGCCCCGAAGAAGGCGGAAGTATTGGAGAAGAGGCCTGAGGACTGCATGTTGCAGGCTGTAGCACGCTAAAGAGACGTATGGTTTAAGTTTAAGGTTCAGGGCTGAAGGTTTAAGGTTTACGTCGGGGGTTTAAGGTTTAGGTTGGGGGTTTAAGGTTTAGGTTTGGGGTCTCACCTGGGCTTGGTAGAAGAATGCAGTGAGTAACCACGGCGCTACAACCGCCCAGAAGAAGGCGGCAGAGTCGGAGAAGAGGCCTGAAGACTGCAGGTTGTAGCGAACCATGATGGCCAGGATGGGGATTCCCGGGATGTAGCCAAAGAAACCCCACATGTACACCGAAAACTCCGTTGCTGGGGCCACCTGTAGCACAAAGAGAAAGCGGGCAGAGAATGGGGGGGAAAGGGGAAGAGAGAAGGGAGGAGCAGGGGCATAGGAAGGGGGGGGAGGAGCAGGGGGATAGGAATGGGGGAGAGGAAGCAGGGGGAAGGGAGGAAGGAAGGGGGGGTGTAAAGAGGGAGTCGGAGAAGAGGCCTGAGGCCTGCAGGTTGTAGCACACCATGATGGCCAGGATGGGGATTCCCGGGATGTAGCCGAAGAAACCCCACATGTACACCGAAAACTCCGTTGCTGGGGCCACCTGTAGCACAAAGGGGGTTGATGGATTGGGGGTCTCAAAAGACGTCTCAAAAACACTACTTTATCACGTGAGTTTGATAGATGGGGATGGGGATGCCCGGGATGTAGCCAAGGAAAGGCCCACATGTACACTGAGAACTCTGTTGCTGGGGCCACCTGTAGCACGGAGAGAAAGCGGGTGGGTGGGAGAAGTAAGAGTGGGTGGGTGGGTTTGAGAGAGGGGTTGGTGTGCCCAGCCTGGGATGTAGCCGAAGAAGCCCCACATGTACACCGAGAACTCTGTTGCTGGGGACACAGAGGGGGGTGGAGAGGGGTGCACGGGTATGAGAGAGGGGTTGGTGTGCCCAGCCTGGGATGTAGCCAAAGAAGCCCCACATGTACAGGCCACCTGTAGCAAAGGGGAAGGAGAGGGGACGAGAGGGGGTTGGGTAAGAGGAGGTTGGTGGGAGCTGCAGGTTGTAGCGGACCTACGAATTCGTGAATAGTGGATACTAAGACGAGCTTGGTCTGCTGAATAGTGGATACTAAGACGAGCTTGGTCTGCTGGATCTGGGTCGAATCGTTTTGAGACGTCTCAAAACACTTCTTCATACATGTTTGGTCTGCTGGATCTGGGTCGAATCTCTACTTTGATAGAGACTGCATTATTTGTACGACTCGGCCTTTGTTATGCATACAACTACGTATTCTCCCCTTCTTCTTCTTCTTCTTTTTCAGAGGGGATAGAGAAGGGAGTGGGGAGTGGAGGGATCACAAGGCAGGAATCTCACATGGGGATGGCCGCAAGCAGTGGCGGCATCGGCCTGGCCGTCCAGCATGTTGTTTGTGCCCTTCAGCGTAACAGCATTTCCCTCTCTTCCACTATAAGTGAAGTGAAGTCCCTTGGGACTATAAGTGATACAGTACATTGCAAGGGAAGCATCTCACATGGGGATGGCCGCATGCAGTGGCGGCATCGGCCTGCCCGTCCAGCATGTTGAGCATGTTGTCTGTTCCCTTGAATGGGTGGCCGGCGTCGTCCACTAGCTTGTATGCCCACGCGCCTAGCAGACCTGCAGGGTACAGCGCAAGGCAGGGGGGCATAGGTGCACGGGACACAGGGGCAGGGGGCAATGGGGCATGGGAGCATGTAAGCATGTAGTTTGTGCCCTTGAAGGGGTGGCATGCGTCGTCCACTAGCTTGTACGCCCATGCTCCTAGGAGACCTGCAGAGTACGGTGCAAGGCAGGGGGGCATGGAGGCATAGGGGGCATGTTGAGCGTATTATAAACATTTAAGCTATGGATGTTTTGGTGACATGGTACCCACGTGGCTTGAAAGTACAGCTGGCAGCAGCACGCACGACGCCCTTATTGGCTCTTGGGTGGACTTACCACAGGAAGTCCTAAATCAGATACTGGTACTCTGAAATACTCGGAATATTGTAATTGTGTACCATTTTCCAATCTAGTAATGTAATTGTGTGCCATCCTAACACTGGATTGTTGTGACTGCATGTCGTCATATGACAAAGAAACTGTGCGTGGCTTAACAAGTAGGATTTTGAGGGCACAGCCGACAGAAGCAGGCAACTAGATGGCTTTTGAGGTGTCTCAAAAGTCATGTAACATTACGTAACTGTGTAACACTGTGTAATATTGTATCACTGTATCGTAGCAATTGTGCGACTGTGTGTGGCTTACCGAGTAGGATGTTGAGGGCGCAGCCGACAGAAGCAGGCAGCCAGATGGCTCGGTTGACGTTGACACCTGGCTTCTTCTCATTGGCCCACGAGGGGATGGTGCTGACGTACGAGTATGCAAAGACACACACCCCTAGGACCTGGTGAAAGAGAAAAAAGGGGATGTAGAGGACAGAAGAGTAGTTGAGTAGACTCAAAGATGGTGCTGACGTGACAGTATGCAAAGACGCACACTCCTAGGACCTGGATAGGCGGAAAGAATAGGAGACCAAGGAAGGGGGAGGGAAGGGGATGGGGGTGGGAAGGAGATAGACAAAATAAGTTGGGTGAGCCGGGGAGGAGGTTGGAGAGGAACTGGGCGGCAAACTCGAAGGAGAAGAGCAGCTGGGCGGGCATTGAGCAAACCTTTGCTGGGCTTATATAGAGTACAAGACAACTCTCACCTGGCTTATATCGAGTCCCAGAAAAGGTGTTCTGCCAGGCCCGTTGCCAGCACAGTAGTTGGGGGACCCGGGGAGGAGGTTGGAGAGGAACTGGGCGGCAAACTCAAAGGAGAAGAGCAGCTGGGCGAGCATGGAGCAACCATTACCTGGCATATATCGAGTACGACCCTCACCTGGCTTATATCGAGTCCCAGGAAGGGTGTTCTCCCCGGCCCATTCCCAGGGCAGTAGTTGGGTGAGCCAGGGAGGAGGTTGGAGAGGAACTGGGCGGCAAACTCAAATGAGAAGAGCAGCTGGGCGAGCATTGATAGCCATTGGAAGCCCATGTTGTCATCGAGGTTGAGGCGAGCAAAGGGGATGCAGACTGTCATTGCGAGCACGAATCTGGGTGAAAATGGAGATGGGACAGGTGCAGGGAGGAGAGTAGTCAGCACACAGGTGAGCAGCTGGGCGAGCATTGATAGCCACTGAAAGCCCATGTTGTCATCGAGGTTGAGGCGGGCGAATGGGATGCAGACTGTCATTGCGAGCACGAATCTGGGTGAAAATGGAGATGGGACAGGTGCAGGGAGGAGAGTAGTCAGCACACAGGTGAGCAGCTGGGCGAGCATTGATAGCCACTGAAAGCCCATGTTGTCATCGAGGTTGAGGCGGGCGAATGGGATGCAGTCTGTCATTGCGAGCACGAATCTGGGTGAAAATGGAGATGGGACAGGTGCAGGGAGGAGAGAAGTCGGCAAACAGGTGAGCAGCTGGGCGAGCAGGGAGAGCCACTGGAAGCCCATGTTGTCGTCTAGATTGAGACGGGCGAATGGGATGCACACTGTCATTGCCAGGACGAAGCTGGGGGAGTGGGAGCACACATGAGGAGGGAAGAAGGGAAGATGAGATCATGGAGAGCCACTGGCACACAGGAGGGAGAGAGGGATAGGGAGGGAATAGGGGGAAGGAAGAAGGGATGATGAGAGCATGGAGAGGCAGAGGAAGCCCATGTTGTCATCCAGGTTGAGAGGGGCGAATGGGATGCAGACTGTCATCGCCAGGACGAAGCTGCAGTGGAGACGGGGAGCAGAGACAAGGGGCACAGTGAATTGAAGAGCAGAAGATGAGAGCATGGAGAGGCAGAGGAAGCCCATGTTGTCGTCCAGGTTGAGACGGGCGAATGGGATGCAGACGTCATTGCGAGGTTGAGGGACGAATCTGAGAGGAGCGGGGCACCCGGCATACAGGAGGGAGGGAGGGATGGGGAGGGAAGAGGGGGAAGGGAGAAGAGAACATGAGAGCATGGAGAGGCAGTAGGAGCCATTGCGAGGTTGAGGCGGGCGAATGGGGTGCGGATTGCCATTGCGAGGACGAATCTGAGCGAGTGGGAGCACACGTGAGGAGGGAAATGAAAATCTGCGCGAAGAAAGTTATGGACTGGGATAGGTCGAGATACATTGTGTTTTTTAGGCGCCTAAAAAACCGGCAAAGCTGAGGGAATGGGAACACACGTGAAGAAGGAAGTGAGGATACTGAGACGACTTTTGAGGCGCCTCAAAAGTGAAGAAGGAAGTGGGGATACTGAGACGACTTTTGAGGCGCCTCAAAAGTGAAGAACGAAGTGGGGATACTGAGACGACTTTTGAGGCGCCTCAAAAGTGAAGAAGGAAGTGGGGATACTGAGACGACTTTTGAGGCGCCTCAAAAGTGAAGAAGGAAGTGGGGATACTGTGACGACTTTTGAGGCGCCTCAAAGGTGAAGAAGGAAGTGGGGATACTGAGACGACTTTTGAGGCGCCTCAAAAGTGAAGAAGGAAGTGGGGATACTGAGACGACTTTTGAGGCGCCTCAAAAGTGAAGAAGGAAGTGGGGATACTGAGACGACTTTTGAGGCGCCTCAAAAGTGAAGAAGGAAGTGGGGATACTGAGACGACTTTTGAGGCGCCTCAAAAGTGAAGAAGGAAGTGGGGACACTGAGCACCATTGCCAGCACAAGGCTGAATGGAGAGTAAGAGTTAGCGCAGCATGACTAAACCCGAAACCCTGAACCCTTAACCGTATGACCTGAACGGTAAAGCCGAACACAGTGATACTTAGTCCAACAGTTTAAAACCCTCTCCATGTCATTGCTTCTTCTCCCTGCCATTGCGAGGTTTAGGCCAGGGTATAGGGTTTAGTTTTACCTCTCCCTTCCGCCCAGTCCGCTCCTTTCTTGTCCGCCTCTTTTAAACTCCCGCTCCTTCACTCACCCCAGGGAGATCACTGATCGGTTGCAGTCTCCGCTGCTGGTGGTCCCCCATGCGCACACATTCCCTCCCGCCCCTCCCCCGCCTTCCAGACGTTCCAGACCTCCCAACCCCCTTCTCCTCTCTCACTCACCCCAGGGAGATCACGGATCGGTTGCAGTCACCGCTGCTGGTGGTTCCGCAAGCGCACACATTCCCCCCCTCCCCCTCCCTCCTTCCCCTGACCTTTCTTCCAGACCTCCCAACCCCCTTCTCCTCTCTCACTCACCCCAGGGAGATCACGGATCGGTTGCAGTCACCGCTGCTGGTGGTTCCGCAAGCGCACACATTCCCCCCCTCCCCCTCCCTCCTTCCCCTGACCTTTCTTCCAGACCTCCCAACCCCCTTCTCCTCTCTCACTCACCCCAGGGAGATCACTGATCGGTTGCAGTCTCCGCTGCTGGTTTTCCCCCATGCGCACACGTTCCCCCCCGCCCCCTGCATTCCTCCCCGCGCTGCTGCATTTCTCCCTTACACACCTTTATTTCTCCCTCCCTCTCTTTCTCACTCACCCCAGGGAGATCACTGATCGGTTGCAGTCACCGCTGCTGGTGGTACCCCACGCGCACACATTCCCTCCCGCCCCTCCCGTTGCAAGAGATTCGATAAACGCGGGCGGCCACTGGCCGTAATCCATGCCATACGATGTGCCAGCTAGCCGATACACCACCGAGTCTAGGACCTGCAAAGGGTATGTGTAAGCAGGAGAGAAAAGTGTGGGGCTGAACTAAACGAAGGAGGCCACTGGCCGTAATCCATGCCATACGATGTGCCAGCTAGCCGATACACCACCGAGTCTAGGACCTGCAAGTTTGTGTGCAACGGGGGGTTGAAAGGTGGGTGCAAGGGTGATTACCCAAGTGCGGGCGGCACTGCCCATAGTCCATGCCATATAAGGTACCGGCTAGGCGGTATACCACTGAGTCTAGAACCTGTGCGTGTGTGTGTGAAGAGAGGGGGGGGGATTGGGGGGAGCGTGGGAGGGGAGAAAGGGGTAGCGATTCAGTTGACTGTTTAGAGATCGGCTATTTCTAGCTTAAAATAACAGGCTGTGCCAGTAGATCATGTCTAATATGTGCCAGGATGTATTTATATTCAATCAAGAAATGAATCACATTAAGAAAGGTTTTATGCGAAAACTGCCCTTAGTTTATACTGCTCATGCACATCACTACAATGTATTTTTAGCTTTCTTCCTTAATTTCCTTCGTTCTTTTTCACTGTACCTGCGATGTAACAATCATGGACGCGATATTCGAAGCGAGCAGCCCCGTGTTGAAGCCAATCTGTGCGAGCGCGTACCACCGATCGCCGAAATAATGCCGCACGAGCGTGCAGTACTCAAACCGCCTCGCGAAACCCTTGTTACCCGGAATTCGCTGCTGCGCCTCGCACATCATCGTCGCCGCAAACGACGAAAACAGCCACATGAGCGTGAGCCCTGCGGTTGGTAAAAACCATCCCGCTTGTGCGTATAGCAACGGGAGAACCACGACCGCTGGTCCCGTGATGTTATTGAAATTGAGGACGCAAGATCTGACGGTGTGGATGGGTGGGAGGAGTGGATGGGCGAGGGAGTGGGATGGGACTGGGTATAAGGGGTAACAGCAGCAGTAAAAGGTACAAAATCGAGCACGCAGGTTTCTAGGATGAAGAACAGGTAGGATGGAGGGGAAAAACACCATCCTCCTCGCTTTCTCTTTCCTTGCCCTATCGTTTCTCCCCTTCCCCTCCTCCCCCTTACCCCTTTTCCCCCTCCCTTTCCTCTCTTCCTGTCCCGATCCGATTTAAGTTGGGACATAGCGACTGGAAGGCGAAGTTCACGCCGTAAACGAATTGGATCCACGGACGTGGAGAGAAAGGGAGCGTTGGGTGGGGGATGGAGTTACTACCGAATCTGTGCTGATGGTGCAGGTGCTGCTCATGCCCTTAATTCCGGAAACAGAGGCCCCTCGTCTCACCCTCAAACCATCCGCTCACCTCAACTCGTCTACTCACCCCACCTCGTCCGCTAACCCCCAAGAGACAGAGACACGTCAACCCCAACCCGTTCATCCACTCACCCCAACTCATCCATCAACCCATCCATCTGCTCACCCCCAGAACGTGATGGTTTTATCGCCGAAGCCGTGATGGTGGTGGTGCAGGTGCTGCTCGTGCCCGCCCTGCAGGTTACACTCGCTCCGCTCGCGCGGCAGCAGCGCCTCTGCACGCGCTGCCGCCATGTCGGGGGAAGCTCTGGGAGGTTGGCAACGGGTGAAGGGCGGGTGGGGAAGCGGAGGGAGGAAATGGAGGGGGGAGCGGAAGGAGAGGGGTGGAAGGGAGAGGGAGGGGGGAAAGAGGGGGGGAGGAGAGGGAGCAATGGATGGCCGATTCCCATTGCTCGCGGCGGCTGCCACGTCAGAGGAAGCTCTTGCGGAAGGGAGGAGGAGACAAGCGCGACAATCCAGGGAAAACAGGCAACGGTACGCGGGTCCGACGACTCGATTCGCTCCGCTCGCGCGGTATCACCGCTCTGCGCGGACTATTGTTATGTCCTTATCGGGGGGGTGCTCGGAAGAATGGGAAGAGGAAATTGGAAAGAGTTGCGCAATCGGGCAACGGGGCGGAGGGGAGAGATGGGACGCGGGTTCGGTGAGGGGAGGGGAGAGGAGTGTCAAACGGAGTGTGGGAAAACGAAGGAAATCGGAGGGGAGACGAGGAGCCGACGTATGAGCTGCGAGAAGCGATTTTTTCTGATAGAGCCGGGACGCTGATAGTTTCGCGGTGCGCTATTCGTTACTGATTCACTCGTGGATGTTGTATAGGCCGATTCTGGCAAGCCGATGATGTTGAAGCTTTGCTAGTGGGGAAATGCTAGTTCCGGAACTCTCGTCTAGCGAAGACGCTGAGGGGAAGCGTAATTTGCCACGTGGATAATTTACCGTTGTGAGAGGAGTGGTCAGAGTGGCAAGGAGGGATCACCTGTATCCATAATCCGAGCGGAATGTTCCTTTCCTCGCGAGGCCGTCTTTCATGTTCGCCATGCTCGCAGAATTGGGATCCTCCGAGCTTTCTTGCTCAGTACCGCCGGCGTTGGACGAAGAGGTAACTGTTACTGCGCGAGATCGGCGACGAGCAAGTGCTTGAGAGTCGGCGGGCCTAGTGGCGAGTGCTATGGATGCGGGACCTATACTGCCGATCTTTAAGCTACTACGAAGAAGTGATATCGGTGTGACAAGTAACTTCCGTAGATTGGAGGAGAAAGACGCGACTACTTGGGCCATGAAAGCTGCATTGCCATCTTATTTCAAGGCAGAAGAGCTTGAATCGTGAGTGAACGGCTTCAGAAGGTGACACAGGTTGTTTCTACCAAATTACCGAACCAAGATGACAGCTGGGGAGAGGTGAAGGGAAAAGCAAAGGGGAGTGAAGGAGAAAGTATGGGCCAGAACGCCGAAGGCAACGGAACTTCATGCTGTAAGAATGTGGGGAACAGATTAGCGAAACGGTTTGCGACTTCTTCGAAACTGGAAATGAGTGGTTCGCTCATCACGAAAGGTGTTGCGAAAATCGTGGACTCGTTTCCGTAGTTTGGGGGATCAGGTAAGGGTGAGTACGGCGTGTCTGGTATGGTTCAGGTGGAAGGCTGGTTGGCGCGCTGCCTTGGCTCGGATGTTTGGCAGGATGCAAGAAAGCGCGGCTCGGTATTGCCGTAGTCGTTACGCTCTGTTGACTGCTGGCCGACTGGTTACCAGCTGTAACATGGGTGGGTGGGCCCAAGGAAAATCTTATTGGTTAACGTGTCCAGGTTGGGCGTTGCTCAGTGGTGGAACGAGCTTGGTCATCGAAAGCGCGTAGACTCCGTCCATCCGCGTTGGCATCGAATGACTCGTCGTCGCCTTCGAGTTTTGCTTCTGGGGGGACCCCCTGCTGCAACCTCAGGGCGTTTTTGGTAAGGAACGAGGTTTGAATTCGTGGTTCGGGGGAAGAACGGAACGCCCGAAGTTCCCGCGTTTTTGGAGGAAAACAGGTGTGGCAGTTCAGATCAGACAGCCACATCATCTGATCCGACCGAACCGAGAGGTGCTGGGTCCACCATCGACCCGCGCCGTTCATTCAGGGGCCCAGGCCAGGCTGCGTCAGAACGAGGGAGGTATGTGTTGTTCTCGAAACCCGACCGAGACGCGAATGGTGTAGGGCTTCTGGCTGGGGCTGTCTTGCACGGTTCATCGTAGCTGGACACACCACACCATCACAAATGTGATGCTGTGAACTGTTGATCTCCCGCTAGGGCGTGACTCGTTTCTCGTTGGGGAAACCATGTTTGAGCCCTTAGCCAAAATCCAGTAGACAACATTGCTGTCTTGTCAATTGAAGAATAAATCCAGGGTGAAGTTTCTGCGTGCTACTGTGAATTATGGGGATACTTTAGGTCGTCCAATGTATTTTTAGGAGCTTTTATCTATATTCTATATTATGTTTTCCTGTTCATTACTTGGAAATTGATCATTTACACTGAAACCTTAAACTTTGTCTTACCTTATTCTCCTACCATATTAAAGTTATTGCCTTTCGAATGTGCATCTTGTTTTGTTCGATTAGGTTTGCGCCCTTCGTTACAAAGAATACGCGCATCGTCCTCGCACGTCCCTACGCAAAGCCAAACCGTCCAGCTACCCACGCCCACCCAGAAGTGGCGGGAACGATCTCCCGTGCTTTGCGCCACCAACCAGAACCTTTTGCCATACCATCGTACCCCTCCTCTCCGTCTGGCAAATCAGAAACAAGCAAAAAAGACCATCCACGTCAACTTTTTCTCCTCCCCGCCGAGCCGCGTTAACGCAGCCGGATTTCTCAGCCCCCGCGACTCGAGATTTGTTTCCACTTTACAAGCACTTCACTGCCATTGCACGGAACGTGAGGGCCATCCATCCCATCCCATCCCATTCCACCCGGCCACCCCCACTAGCGGCATCCCATCCCATCACCTCACATGGCGCTGGGCAGGCTTGCTTGAACCAGGTGTGGCTGTGCAGTGACCCTGTCCCCGTCTCGTCAGGTCGAGATTCCGGCAGGGCAGCGTGCCAGCGACATCAGCTCGAACCAGCCCCCCGTTCTATCCTCCCGTCTCGTGTCTTGTATTGATCGATTTCGGGGCAGCAGGACATCGGGGAAGGCTCTTCACCCACACATGGCGCCTAGCAGCAGTAATAGCCCAGCATAGCACCCTTCCACTTCCCACGCCTCCTTCACAAACAAGACCATCTTGGTCTTGCTTTTCCTTTGCACTGAACGACTAGGGGGGCAGAACGAAACCAACCAAACGTGCAAACGGTCATCGGCTTAGAGCGTGTAGCTACTTCGCCTAGTAGCGACATCCAGGTTGCTCGTCATTTGCACGTGCAGCTTCGTGTTTATTCTGAGATTTCAATTAAGTCCTTACCGTTTCCGATAGCTGAATCGCGAGCGATTACATGAACGGTTCTGATAGTTTGCTGCCTTTAGTTCGTCGATCCCATCATCGCGGAAAGCTTAGCAACCTCCTCTTGCTCCGCTTAGAGCCACTAGTGTCAGTTATGTCAAGCACCGTGCTACCGAGCTCTGATTATTCTAGCGTCAGTTTTCACCTCCCGTTGTTACGGAGCATCTTTTCGCAATCTCCACCTTCGTAGTGCATATCGAGACTTAGTTTACGAGTCTATAGTTTTGTCAGGGATTTAACTACATTAGTATTAGCGGCCAATTCTGCCAACCATATTGGTCATCGCTGGTTAGATTGATTGTGACTCAAACAGAGTTCCAACGGACTTCTAGCGAGCTTAAGAACATGCCGTCGCAGCGACTTGCCCCCTCCCTCCCGCCCGTCACGGAAGTAGACGAGGAGGCACGATCCGGAGACATTTCAGACGCGTCGGCTCGATGCGTGGACGCGTCGTCCCGAGGCGTGGACGCGTCGACTAGCAAGGCAAGCGGCGGCGGAGGAAAAGGCGAGCGAGTAGAGGTGCAGGGCGAGAGCGGCGCCGCGGCGAACCAAATGTGCCGCGACGACTCGATCACGTCGACGCCGCGATCCGAAACGTCGGAGTGTCGTACGGTGTACACACCGAACGAGCTGCTGCAGCTGTGCGACGCGTGGGCCGCGGTGAGTTCTGTCGCAGGATTTTTTTAAATGTGTGTCCGTTATTCTTGACTGAAATGGTCATTGGGAATATACGCGAACAAGGCGTGAATATGGTTTGTGGGATTGTAAAACGGCATTGGTTTCACGATGGGTGGATGAACCACCTCCTGCGTGGGCCGCGACGTGTCGAACCGCGTACACGACCAACGAGCTGCTGCAGCTGTGCGAGGCGTGGGCCGCGGTGAGTGTCGTCTTCGAAAGTTATTGGGATGTGTACTGCGGTTGTGGACTGAGTTTAGATGGTCTTGCATATGGTTCTCAATAATGTTGCCCGGAATGCAATAAGGAATGTTTTAGCAAATGTGCGCGGGTTCTGAGTTTTTACTTGTCGCTTTGCAACATGTCTCCTCATTAGTACAGTCGGATTGCAAATTTGCGAAAGGTTTCAGAGTGCCTCAGTGTGGGGGTTTGCCGCGTTTGTCGTTAGCTCGACACAACTAGTAAGGCGCTTGGCAGATGCTAACATCACTCGGCTTCTTTATTCCTTGTCCTGCGTCCGTTTTTCCTGACGACCCACCTCTCTGAATATTTTCCCACCGTTTCCCGCCGCTTCCCACACCATCAGCCATGGGAGGATCGTCGCCCTGGAAGCCAGTCAGCATCGCCAGCGCCACGTGCCTCCAGCTCTTCATCGCAACCGTTGGATCTTCAGCGCGCGCTTTCCTGCGATCGCGCCTCCCTTTCCAGCATCAGTCCGTCGACCCCATCCCCCGCGCGCACGGCAAGCGGAAGCGGAAGAATCTCCGCATCGCCCGGGCGCGGAAGCGGAGGTTTCCCCCCCCAACCAAACGCTTCCCCCGGCCTTCTCCCCCCGCACTCCCCCATGGTTTTGCGCGAATGGGAGGAATTTCTTTTCGTAAAAAATGCTTCCCCCTCCCCTAACGCTTCCTTCCGCCGATCCCGGCTTGGCCCGGGAACGGGGGAGGGATCGGGGGAGAGCGCCAAAGGCGGTGGGGAATGCGTAAGCGGGTTACAGCTGGACCCGGGCTCCGCGATCAACGGCGGGATTGGCGGAGACGATCCGAACACGGACCCCGCGCTGCGAAACATTCGCCTGCCGATTCACAAGGTCGTTCGCAGCAGCTGGCCGCGATATCGCCTGCGACGTCGCGACCATTTCGGCGTCGCCATGGAGGGCGTCGCAGAGGGCGACGAGGAGAACGAAGACGACGATTCGTCGCCGTCGTCGCCTGCTGTCTCAGGGCCGCCTGAACGAAGCGAGAGCGACGATTCTGCGACAGACACGACACGATTGGAACAAGCCGCGTCGGTGGCGGTTACAATATTTTCCGAAGCTCCCATTGGCTCGCAACCATCCCAAAAATCCGGAACCTTATCCGTTAGTCAGCGACTCTCCGCAGCGAACAATTCCTCAGCCTCTGGTGACCCTAGGCCCGTGTCGCGTCGTTTATCTGGGCAGATGCGGCTCGTTAATGGTGCCAGCAGAAAATCCGGGTTAATCGACGGTTCTGCGGCCGATCGGAGTGGAGAGAACGCACGTGCTAGTAGCGAAGGGTTTGTGAATATGGCGGAAGGGATGATGGCAGGAGGAAACGCGGGGAAATTGTTTCAACTGCTGGAGCAAGTGGATAAGCACGGGGACTATTTCCGCGGTGACGTGGAGGACCCTGATTTGACCAGCAGCATGGACCTGGACGAGGAGGCGACGGATGACGAACCTGGTAACCCCGCTGTTTTCATACATTTATCGTTTTCGCTGTTGATGCCCGATTTTGTATTTTTACAAAGTTGCGAAGTTCGCAAATTGTCAGCGTGTCGGGTAACCCTTTCGTAAACTTCGTCAGCGCGCCACAACCCCCTGACCCCCTCACTCGTCCGCGTCTTTCCCCCAACCTGCAGGGTTTCTCGCGCGGACTGACGTGGCGCGGCTCGTAACGGACGGCACGGATACGCAGTACCTGCCGCGGCTGAACAAGTACTTCCCCTTCGGCGCGTTTACCATCTTCATTATGATGCAGGTGAGTGTGACAATAACGAGAGTTACATTTTGTACAAGAAAGTGGGAGACGTCTCCCCCCTTCCCCCTCCCCTTCCCCGACTCGCCCACCGACAAGCGCGCCATGGCTGCCCTTGCTTATCCCCAACTGGGTGCAAGTTTCCCCTCATCTCATGCAACCCCCATCCCCCCCTCCATCAAGTGGCGGTGGTCGACTCGCCCACCGACAAGCGCGCCCCTGCTGTCCCCAACTAAGTGCAAGTTTCCCCTCATCTCATGGCCCTCCACTCCCCCCTCCTTCTCTTCTCTCCTTCCCCCCCTCCCCCCCACAGGCGCTAGTGGCGGTGGTCGACTCGCCCACCGACAAGCGCGCCACGACTGAGACCCCATTTCGAGTGCAATCCCCACCCTCTAGTTCCCCCTCATCTCACATCGCCATCGCCCCATCTCCCTCCCCCTTTCCCAGGCGCTAGTGGTGGTGGTCGACTCGCCCACCGACAAGCGCGCCATGACCGCCCCGCCCCTGCTGCTATCTTGATTGCTATCCCCCGCTGGGGCCAATCCCCCCTCATCTCAACCCTCCCGCTTTTCCCCCTCCCCCCTTCTTCCCCCCGCCAGGCGCTAGTGGCGGTGGTCGACTCGCCCACCGACAAGCGCGCCATGACTGCCACGTCACTCGCCATCTGCTTCGCCGTCTCTTCGCTCTGCCCCTTCATCAAGCGCACGGGGCACACCGCTCTGGTTCCGCGGAATAGGTAGGTGTGCCCCCAACCACACCGTGCCGCACCGTACCGCACTGCACTGTACCGCCCCATGTGCTTCGCCGTCGCGTCGCTCTGCCTGTTCATCAAGCGCACGGGGCACACTGCTCTCGTCGGAATAGGTAGGTGTGCGCGAACCAAACCGCACTGCACGGCACCGCACCATATTGCACCTCTTCCCTTTTACCGTTTCTCGTCGCGACTGTCTGCCTCTTCATCAAGCGCAGGTGATACGCGTCAGGTCGGTGTGACCCAACCATACCGCACCGCACCGCACTCCCACCAACCTCTTTCTCTTCTTCCACGCCGACGTTGAAACCCTCGCCTATTCGTTCGCTCACTCACTGTCCCTCTCCCCACTCCCCTCTGGCCCTCCTCTCTCTCCTTTCCTTCACTGTCCCTCCGTTCCCCTCCTGCCTCTCCCTCGCTTACAGTTGGAAGTGGCCGCTGGCAGTGCGTGTGGGCTCAACCAACCTCTTCTCTTCATCCACGGAATCTCTCAAACCCTCCACCATGCCGCCACTGGGTTCCCTCCAGTGTCTCCACCTTCATCTCTCCCTTCCCACCTGCCAGTTGGAAGTGGCCGCTAGCAGTGCGTGTGGGCTCCACCAACCTCTTCATCCACGCAGACGCTCAGACCCTCCCTATCGGCGCCGTCTGCTCTCCCTCATCTCCCTCTGCTCTCTTCCCTCCTCACCCTGCCAGTTGGAAGTGGCCGCTAGCAGTGCGGGTGGGCTCCACCAACCTCTTCATCCACGCCGACGCGCGAACCCTCGCCTTGCTGATATTCGTTCCCTCACTCCCTCTACGCTCCACTTTCCCCCTCTGCCCTCCCCTCGCTCTTTTTTCTCTTATCCAGTTGGAAGTGGCCGCTAGCATTGCGTGTGGGCTCCACCAACCTCTTCATACACGCCGACGCTCAGACCCTCGCCACTGTTTCCCCCCCACTGCCCCGCCTTCCTTCTCCCCTCCTCTGCTCCCGTCCCTTCCAGTTGGAAGTGGCCGCTGGCAGTGCGTGTGGGCTCAACCAATCTCTTCATTCACGCCGATGCTCAAACCCTCGCCCACGCCGTCACCAAGGCCATTGCTTTCGTGCCTCTGGGAATATGCAACGACACGGCTGCCAGCATTCTCTTCCCAGGTACCCACCCCTCTCCCCTCCCTTCTTCGCTCACAACATCTCATGACGCTCAAACCCTCGCCCACGCCGTCACCAAAGCAATCGCCTTCGTGCCTCTCGGGATATGCAACGACATGGCTGCCAGCATTCTCTTCCCAGGTGGGTCACACTCAGCATCACAGTCACTTCACAGTCGCATTTCCAGCTGCTTTTTCCATGTACACTCACACACTCGCCCATGCCGCCATCAGGGCTCTCATCCGCTTGTTACCCAGTTTCAGTCCCGTAGCACACGCCCGCCCATGCCAGGTGGTGCATTGTCCACGTGGCACACGCCCGCCCATGCCAGGTGGTACATTTTCCACGTGGCACACGCCCGCCCACTCTTCCCATACCAGTGCTGCGGCTGCAGCTCTCCACCTTCCTCCTGCCTGCTCTCCCCTCCTCATCTCGTCTCCAACTGCCTATGCTCTCTCTTCGCCCATCTCTTCCCTAAACCCGAAACCCTAAACCCTTACCATCCACCACAAGACCTGCAGCTCTCCACGTTCCTCCTCGTGGTTTCGTTTCGTCCTCATCACCTTCCTGTCCTCATTCCTTATTTCTCTCCCCACCCCCTTACCCCACCCTCCCCCTGCCCTCTTCCCTGTCTCTGTCTCCGCCCACCAGGTCTACAGCCCTACTGGCTGCTGCTGCTGCAGCTCTCCACGTTCCACCTTCTGTTTTCGACCTCATTACCAACCTCCTCCTTTCTCCGCCCACTCCCCTCCCGCTTCCTCCCTCCCACCAGGTCTACAACCCTACTGGCTGCTCCTGCTGCAGCTCTCCACGTTCCTCCTCGTGGTTTCGCTCTCATCACCCAACTGCCCTTGTTCCTCCTTTCTCCCCCCACACCACCCCCCTCCCACTCTCCACCTCCCACTCTCCCCTCACCAGGTCTACAGCCCTACTGGCTGCTACTGCTGCAGCTCTCCACATTCCTCCTCGTCGCCTCCCTCACCTTCTTTGTGCATGACCACGTGCCTTCCATCCGCACTGCTGCAAGGCCATTAGAGCCTTCATTGTAAGCGCGATAATCACCTTTGTTAAAACCACTCTCCTTATAGCACCTCGTCGCCTCCCTCACCTTTTTCGTGCATGACCACGTGCCTTCCATCCGCACTGCCGCCCGGCCGCTGGAGCCCTCACTGTAAGCAGTATTTATCGCAGTTGTTAGAAGCACCTCGTCGCCTCCCTCACCTTTTTCGTGCATGACCACGTGCCTTCCATCCGCACCGCCGCCCGACTTCTAGAGCCCTCATTGTAAGCGCGATAATCACTTTTGTTAAAACCACTGTCCTTATAAGCACCTCGCCTCTCTCACCTTCTTCGTCCATGACCACGTGCCTTCCATCCGCACTGCCGCCCGGCCCCTGGAGCCCTCTCTGTAAGCACACCTTTTTCCTCTTTATCACTTGTATAATAATCAGTCTCGTTATAAGCACATCTCCTCCCTCACCTTCTTTTTCATGACCACGTGCCTTCTATCTGCACTGCTGCCAAGCCACTAGAGCCCATTTTGTTTGAGGTTGATTTTGAGAATCCTCAAAATCAACCTTAAACAACATCTCTGCCAAGCCACTAGAGCCCACGCCCGCTGTAAGCACAACTAGCACCTTCTCTGACTGCTGCTGTTGTTGCTGCCTCTGTTGCTGCGACCAGCAGCAACCATTCCACAGCATGTTCATCCTTCCCTCGTTTTCTTCCCCCTGTCCTTTCCTCTCCCGTCCCTCCCCTCTCCCTCCAGCTTCACTGACGAGGCAGAGGAACACGCACACCCACACCACCACCACTGCACAGCATGCATGGCTGCTGCTGGCGCTGCTGCTTGTGAGACGTCTCAAATATCCTTTCCCCTCCCGTGTCCCTCCCCTCCCCCTCCCCTGTCCCTCCCCCCCTCCAGCTTCACTGACGAGGCAGAGGAACACGCACACCCACACCACCACCACTGCACAGCATGCATGGCTGCTGCTGGCGCTGCTGCTTGTGAGACGTCTCAAATATCCTTTCCCCTACCGTGTCCCTCCCCTCCCCCTCCCCTGTCCCTCCCCCCCTCCAGCTTCACTGACGAGGCAGAGGAACACGCACACCCACACCACCACCACTGCACAGCATGCATGGCTGCTGCTGGTGCTGCTGCTTGTGCTCCTGGTGCTAACAACAACTCATGCGCTGCAGCACCCTGCTCCTGCCACCAGCACCAACACCAGCACCACTGCTACGCCTTCACCAGTCACACTCAGCAGCACCAGCACCACCAGCACCACCACACCTGCGCCCACTACAGTCACACGCGCCACTGCCGCTGCCACAGTCAGTGCAACAACACCAGCGGCTATTTCCCCAGCGATATCAGCGCTTACAGCACCAGCGGTTACAGTCGCAGTGGTTACAGTCACAGTGCTTACAGTCACAGCGGGCAGAGTAACGCTGGTTACAGTCACAGTGGGTACAGTCACAGCGGCTTGACTGCCGGCCACAGCCACGAAGGGAGGGGGTCGGCGTTTCTCGGCCCGCCCGACGAAACGAACACACCCCGGGTTGACTCTTCTCACACGCCTCGAAGCGACTCAACTCACGCATCTCATTCTCACTTCACCAAATCTGGTTCCTTGCTCCCAGCCCAACCCAACACCATCACCAACACCTACACCAGCGCCACTGCTACTGCCGCTACTAGAACCAGCTCCCCTAAATCGGTGGAGCTTCAGTCTTTAGTTACTCTCCACTCTTCTGCGGAAATCCGATCAACTCATTCGTCCATGGAGCTCCGATCTATCGCTCTCCATCCCTCTTTTAACTCCATCAACTCATCAGAGGTGATGGGACCACCAGCTAGCACCCACTCTTCGAAGCAACCCTCCTCTCCCGTTCCCCACTCTCCCACCAAGAACCCCCCATCCCCTCATACCACTCTGCATCCCTCTCAAACCTCCCCCACCTCCCCCGAATGCAACGTACCCAGCAGCAGCAGCCCACCCACCCACTCTCCCAGCGCCCACAGCTCTCCGCCCTCCCTCCCTCCCAGCAGCAGCGCCACACCCCTTCAAAACACCTCATTTGCCGGCCACACCCCTCCCCCGAACCGCTTTAGCGCCGGTAGCACCCCGCTTCTGCTCAGGGGTGTGTACACCCCACCGCACGACTCTCCTCCGCATTCCCTCACCCCTGCTTGCAGCACCCCTCCAGCTCAAAACACAGCATTTGCTGGCCATACACCTCCTCCTCCGCATGGCTTCAACACTGCCTGCAGCACTCCGCTTCTTCTGAAGGGGATACTGAGCCCCCGCTCTGCTGCAGACAGTCCGTTTAGTGCTGCTGCCCGTGCTTCTTCCTCCCCTCCTGCTCCTGCTGCCGCATCTCGTTCTGCTGCTTCTGTGGTTGTGAGTGTGCCTGGTGACAGAAGTTACACAGAGGCCGGTGCTGCTTCTGATGCTGCTGATGCTGATGCGGCTGCTGGTGGGAGTGAAGACGGGGGGATGGGAGATGGAGGAGAGGCGTCAACGGGTGATTCAGGTGTTTTGGTCGCTTCAGGCACTTCAGGTGCCGCGTCAGGTGTTTTGGAGGAGGATTATCATCAAAGGAGTAGTAGCATGTCTCCTGGAGCAGCAAGCGATTGCGGCAGCAGCAGCTGCTCTACCAGCAGCAGCAGAAGCAGCAGCGGTGGTGGTGGTGGGGGCGGTGACAGTGACACCCGGTGTGGCTTGCTGTGCCTGGTTCGCAGGAACAGTAGCGGCGGCAGCAGCTGCTGTAGAGGCGGCAGTAGCAGCAGCCAGCACAAGGTGGGAAGGGTGGATAATGAGTCAAGGGCAAGGAGGAGCAGCGGAGGAGAGAGAAAGGGTAAAGGGGTTTTGCTTGAGGCTTGGAGTAAAGGCACAGAGGGGGAGGCTGAGGTGAGGGAAGGGAGGGGCAGTGGAGGAGAGGAAAGGGGCGGAGGGGCTAGTGAAAGGCGAGGAGAGGAAGGGAGGGAGGGCAGGAGAAGAATAGCAGAGCTCGAAGAACCAAGAGAACGTGCACAAGCAGCAGCAGGAGCAGGAGCAGCAGAGGCTGTTGCAGCACCAGCAGCAACAGCTGCAGCAGTAGCAGTGGCAGACGCAGCAGGAGAAGAGGGTGTGACAGAGTGTGATGGCATGCCATTGTCGCCATTGGGTGCAAGTGAGGATCAAACGAGGCAAGAATCCAGAAGAGATGCTCATGGGGTTGATTCGGGTAGTGGAGAGGCTAATAACGAGGATAGAAGAGAATGGGGCGCTCGTGCTTGGAGGTTGATACCTCCCCCCATGATGGTGCCGGCAGGGAGGCAAAGTGAGGGGTGTGAGAGTGGGAGGATGCAAAAATGTGAAAGGCAATAATGGGGATAGAAAGGGAGAAGGGACGCCCGTGCTTGGAGGTTGATACCTCCCCCCATGATGGTGCCGGCGGGGAGGCAAATTGAGGGGGTTGAGAGTGGGCGGATGCAGGGAAGCTAAAAGATTGAGATGAGATGAGAGGCTGATAGGACCTGTATGAGGGGTGTTTTTGGTTTGTGTGAGGGCAGGAAAGGGGAGCTGTGAGAGCGGAGTATGGAACTTGTGTAGGTTTGTGTGGGGATGTCGAGGGATTGGGTGGGTGACTGGCTGGTTACTGCATAACTTGTAGGGCATTTAACTTGTAGATAAAACTGTAGGGTTTGGTGTAGAAAGCTAGGGACTCGCTTTTGACAAACAGATCGTTTTTTTGGTGTCAGTCAGTCAGGCTGTAAGTTCCCTTGAACCTTAGAGCATGCAATCACCTTGAAACTGAACATCCTGGTGACTGTTTCTAGTTTATGACTTTTGCAGTGCACGCAAATTGCAATATACGTATTTTTGTGATATGGTACTCGTATCAGGACAGCCCCCAAGAAGCGAAATTCAATGGTGGGAGAAAGACCCCTTTCAAGGCCGATATTTCCTATGTTGGAAAAGCGGACCAGAGTACTATGGTAGTACCACCGTGGAAGGAAATCAATTATGGAAAGGAGCTGTGAAAACCGCTGGCTAAAAAAGAGATGTGATACCTCTAATGATGTAGCGATGTGGACAGTGGATGGATGGAAACCAATGATTGGGAAAACAGCTGTGATGTGAATCGCACACGGATGAATCAGACACGCACGTCTTTCATGCATCAGGAGGAAGATCCAGGTCGCAGTAAATAATGACCATCCTTGGATCAGAGATGCCACACCATTGATTCCCACTCTACTGCATCCTCCCTTGTCCCTTCAATCTGCAACACCTAGGTCTTGCACATTGCCTCCCACTTTCCCTCAACGCTTATTGAATATGTGCTTGCTCCTTTTCTGCTAGTCCTTGAGTGCACCCTACTTCTCCTCCTTCTCTTCCTCCTTTATTTTCCGCTTCCTCTTCCTCCACATCTTTCTCCTCCTTCCTACACCTTCCTTTTCTGCAAGACCTTGAGCTCACCCCTACTTCTTTTCTCTTCCTTCTCTTCCTCCTTTGTTTTCCTCTTCCTCATCTTTCTCCTCTTCTTCCTACGCCTTCCTCTTCTTATTCCTCCTCATCCTCCTCCTCTTCTACCTCCTCTTCTTCCTCCTCTTCTTCCTCCTCTTCTTCCTCCTCTTCTTCCTCCTCTTCTTCCTCCTCTACTTCCTCCTCTTCTTCCTCCTCTCCCCCCTCTCCTCCCTCCTCTCCTCCCTCCTCTCCTCCCTCCTCCTCCTCCTCCTCCTCCTCCTCCTCCTCCTCCTCCTCTTCCTCTTCCTCCTCTTCCTCCTCCTCCTCCTCCTCCTCCTCCTCCTCCTCCTCCTCCTCCTCCTCCTCCTCCTCCTCCTCCTCCTCCTCCTCCTCCTCCTCCTTCCCTCCTCCCCCCACCCCATTCCCCATCCCTCCTCCCTCCCCCCTCACAAACCCCTCTTCTATCTCATACTCCATCTCATCCGCTCCCTCCTCTCCCTCCTCCTCCTCCTCCTCCCCCTCTTCCTCCCACAGTCTATGCCCAAGGAACATCACCATCCTCTGCAAAACCTCAACCTCCATCTCCCTATGCACTAACCTCCTTCTCAACTCCCCCACATTAGCAGCACCATCACGCATACTCCCATCAACCAGCCCTTGAGGCAATGTTCCCTGCTGCTGCTGCTGCTGCTGCAGCTCCTGTTTTCTTTGCAGCCGCAAAATCAGCTCTCTAATCGCTCGCTCCATCCCCTCCTCTCCAACCTCCACCTCCACCTCTTCCTCCCCCTCCCCTCCCTTCCCTCCCCCACCCTCCCCTCTCGCCCTCTCCACTGCCGCCACCGCATCATAATAACTACTCCTTAAAAGACTTTCAACTAAGCGCTCGTCCGTTTCGTCCATAGCAAGAAGCTGCTTCCACTTAGCCTTCATATCCGCTCTCGCCTTTGCCATAATCTCATCTCTCACCCTCGTCTGCTCCAACTGCTTCTCCTCCTGCTGTGGCTCCAGCTGCCTCACCTCCTCCTCTTCCTCCCCATCCTTCTCTTCCCTCCCAACAAGCACATCCCACACATCATCTGCATCATCACACACAAGGGTAAGCTGATCCCTCATTGCCCTAAGCATCTTCGCCCCAACCCCGTGGATCATGCGGTTACCATCGCCGCCACACGCCACCACCACTTCTGTCGCAGGCCGGTAAACAGGGTTACCGCTGTTACCGCCTTCGTCCCTGGTGTATTCGATAAAGTAAATGTGCTTCTGCAGGTGCTCTGGCACAGGAATCCTCTTCTTCCACCGCCCCCAGGGATCCTGGGAAGCAGGGGAGGGGAGGGATGGGGGAGGCGGAGGGCAGGCATAGGGGGGGAGGAAGCATCAATGCTGTTACCGCCTGCGCCCCTGGTGTATTCGATAAAGTAAATGTGCTTCTGCAGGTTCTCCAGAACTGGAATCATCTTCCTCTACTGGCCCCCAGGGTCCTGGAAAGGAGGGGAGGGATGAGGGGAGGGATGGGGGAAGCGGAGGGGAGGCATGGGGAGAGGGGTTGGCGTTGCGGCTGTTACCTAGCCTGGTACTGCTGTTACTGCCCGTGCCCCTGTAATCTATGCAGATGTGCTTCTGCAGGTGCTCTGGGACTGGAATCCTCTTCTTCCACCGTCCCCAAGGGTCCTGTGGAATAGACAAGGGCAGGCACAGGAGGAGAGGGGGGAAAAGATGGGATGGAGGGACGGGAAGGAAGGGAAATTCGACTCAGCTACTGAGGAACCTCAGAGGTTGCAGGTGCCCCGGTACTGGAATCCTCTTCTTCCACCGACCCCAGGGGTCCAGGGGAATAGACAAGGACAGGCACAGGAGGAGAAGGGGGAAAAGATGGGATGGAGGGACGGGAAGGAAGGGAAATTCGACTCAGCTACTGAGGAACCTCAGAGGTTGCAGGTGCCCCGGTACTAGAATCCTCTTCTTCCACCGACCCCAGGGGTCCAGGATTTAGGTCAGCTTGTGCTCGGGTACCGGGATGTTCTTTCCTTTAGCATGCCGAGACCTGAGGAGGAGGTGACTTTGAGTCGACTCAAAAGCTGGCCAAAAGGGGCAGGTCAGCTTGTGCTCGGGTACTGGGACGTTCTTTCAATTACTTTTGAGACGTCTCAAAAGGGGCAGGTCAGCTTGTGCTCGGGTACTGGGACGTTCTTTCTTTTACCATGCCGAGACCTGAGGAGGAGGTGACTTTGAGTCGACTCAAAAGCCACCTCGTTTTAGTCGACTCAAAAGCCACCTCGTTTTGAGTCGACTCAAAAGCTGGCCAAAAGGCAGGTCAGCTTGTGCTCGGGTGTACTGGGAGGGATGTTCTTTCTTTTACCATGCCGAGACGTGAGGAGGAGGTGACTTTGAGTCGACTCAAAAGCTGGCCAAAAGGCAGGTCAGCTTGTGCTCGGGTACTGGGATGTTCTTTCCTTTACCATGCCGAGACGTGAGGAGTCATGTCAAGGGAAGGATAAGATTGAATAAAAAAGAGTTCGAAAAGAGGCAAGGAAATGATTCAGGTGAAAAGTTTTGGAGACTTCTCTACAAGAGGGGAGGGGAGGAATGCAAGACGTCGTTACTTATATCTTTGCTTACCGGTGCTTGCGGCTTCGATTCCTTCAGCAGGGAGTGCAAGGAAGAGCGAGTGAATCCATGGCATTGAGTCAGTCAGCTTGCTTACCACTTGATGAAAGTTGGGTTTTGAGACGTCTCCAAATCTATCGCATCCAGTCAGTTTGCTTACCACTTCAATCTCCCCTGGGAGGGATTGGAAGAGCGCGAGAGCAGAGGAGGGGAAGGGGTAGTGCACGCGAGAGAAGCAGCCATCACCCCTGCCACTGAGTCGGGGTTTCTGGGGGTAGAGGAGAAGGGGGAAGAGGGAGTTTGCATGAGGATAAAAGACAAAAGAGGGAATGGAAGAGTGTAGGGGAAGGGGTAGTGCACGCGAGAGAAGCAGCCATCGCCCCTGCCGCTGAGTCGGGGTTTCTGTGGGAGGGGGGCGAGGGGGGAAGGGGGAGAGGGCGTTTTCATCAGGAAAAGGAGACCAAGAAGGTGAAAAGGCGGAGGAGGGGAAGGGGTAGTGCACGCGAGAGAAGCAGCCATCGCCCCTGCCGCTGAGTCGAGGTTTCTGGGGGAGGGGGGGAGAGAAGGGAGGGAGGGAGGAAAAGACATGGAGGGATGAAAGCAGAGAAGGGGTAGTGCACGCGAGAGAAGCAGCCATCACCCCTGCTGCTGAGTCGAGGTTTCTGTGGGAGGGGGGCGAGGGGGAAGAGTCGTGTTTTGAGTCGACTCAAAACACGACTCATTACACGTGGAGATCACAGGAGAGGAAAGCCGCATTAAGGAAGAGTCGTGTTTTGAGTCGACTCAATACACGACTCATTACACGTGGAGATCACAGGAGAGGAAAGCGGCATAGAAGGAAGAGAGTGTGATTGTGTGAAAGCGGGAGGCAAAGGGAGCACGAGAGCAGCAAAGACGACCTTTTGAGGCACCTCTAAGACAAGGAACGATTTTTTGCTAGGTGCGTCAAAATAAGGTCGTCTCTTGTGTTGCTTTTCGTTTCTTTATGTGGGAAAAAATCTCAAATCTCGCGGTTATCATGTAGGGAGAATGTTAGCCGCGGGGCGGGGAGGGGGATGTACATTTAGTCTATGGGCGAAGCAGTGGACCAATATGCTGCTAAAACGGGTTTTGTGAGGGGAGAACCAAGAAGAGGAATAGAGTAGAATGGATGATGAGCACGGGGACTCGAGGTGCACGATGATGACTATTTTTTATTCTACTCCAAAATATGAATGCGACCTCCCCCCCCCCCCTAGTGGTGCATGATGGGTGGATGGGATGGCCCACCCAACCATCATTCCACCGTCCCACCACTCCACCATCCCACCATCCCACCATCCCACCATCCCACCATCCCACCATCCCATCATGCCACCTACCGGCACCCATGGCATCATGTCATCTTCATCATCCTTCTGCCCCAGAACCCATATGTTCAAGCCCCCATGCCCCAATGCCCCCATGGCCTAAAGCCCTCATGCCATGCTGCAACTATAACATCCCATCATCGCCACCTACCGGCACCCATCGCCACCTACCGGCACCCATGGCATTATCTCATCTTCATCATCCTTCTGCTGCCCCGGAACCCAGATTCTCATTTCAGCTCTGATGCCCTCATGCCCTCATCACAACCTACCGGCACCCATCGCCACCTACCGGCACTCATCACAACCTACCGGCACCCATCGCCACCTACCGGCACTCATCACCACCTACCGGCACCCATCGCCACCTACCGGCACCCATCGCCACCTACCGGCACCCATGGCATCATGTCGTCTTCATCATCCAGTGGCTGCCCCAACACCCAGATTCTTGCCTCATCCCCCAATGCCCTCATGCCGTGCATGCTGCAGCTATAGCATCCCATCACACCACCTACCGGCACCCATGGCATCATGTCGTCTTCATCATCCAGCAGCTGCCCCAACACCCAGATTCTTGCCTCATCCTCCTCCTCTTCCTTTTTTGCCTCTTCCTCATTTGCCTGCCCCTCCTTCCCCTCGCCATCCTTCCTCACACTCGCCTTCTCCCTCTCCCCTTTTTCTTCCCCCTTCTCCTCTCCCGCCTCCTCACCCTTTTTCCCCTTCTTCCCCTTATCCCCCTTCTTTCCCTTCTTCCCAGTCTTGCCCTTTCCTCCCTCCTTTGCCTCCTCCTGCCCCTCCCTTTCCCCCTTCTCTTCCTCCTCCCCCCTCTTCGCTTCCATCCTCCTCCTCTCGTAATGCGCCAGCAAGGCAAGGATCATCTCTGTAGTGGTGCCACGTGGCAGCGCGTCAATGGTCAGCTCCCCCATCAGGTAGTTGCCAACCTGACAGGGAGAGAGGTTGGAGTGGGTGAGCGGGAGGGGAGTGAAAGCAAGGAGTCAAGAGGAGTGACATGGAGTGAGTGGGGGTAGAGAGGGTGGCAATGGTCAGCTCCCCCATAAGATAATTGCCAACCTGGCAGGGAGAGAGGGTGGAGTGGGTGAGAGGGAGGGGAGTGGGTGAGCGGGAGGGGAGTGAAAGCAAGGAGTCAAGAGGAGTGACATGGAGTGAGTGGGGGTGGAGAGGGTGGAGAGAGCGGGAGTGGAATGAAACGAGTGAGCCAAGAGGAGTGAGATGGAGTGAGTAGGAGGAGAGAGAGTGAGGGAACGGGAGTGGAGTGAAACGAGAGAGGCAAGAGGAGCGAGATAGAGTGAGTGGGAGGAGAGGGAGTGGAGTGAGGCGGAGTGGAGCGAAACGAGTGAGGCAAGCAACCGCCTCACTTGGAAGGCTGATATTTTTGAGGCGCCTCATTTTGAGGAGTCTAATTTTGAGGCGCCTAAAAAATAGACACCTCACTTGGAAGGCTGATATGACTCGATAGCACAGCCGTGTCAGGGCCTCTCTCTCAGGCTTACGTTTGAATCGCATTGACAGAGTGATAGGTGGTGGTTGGCAACTTGGCACTTACAACAGCAACGAGTGGCGGGAGGAGGGCACAAGTGCCGATGGCCTTGATAGCACAGCCGTGTCAGGGCCTCTCTCAGGCGTACGTTTGATTTGCATTGACAGACTGATAGGTGGTGGTTGGCACTTACGATGGCAGAGAGCGGCTGGATGGGCGTGAGGCCGTGTCAGGGCCTCTCCCAGGCTTACGATTAGAACGAGTTAGATCTGCTGGATCTGGGTCGAAACTACCTTTCCTTACGATTGAATTGCATTGACAGAGTGACAGGTGGTGGTTGGCACTTACAATGGCAGAGAGCGGCTGGATGGGCGTGGGGAGAAGGAGTGCGGAGAGCGGCTGGACTTACGATGGCGGAGAGCGGCTTGATGGGCGTGGGGAGGAGGGCAGAAGAGCCGACGGCCTTCTGAACCAGTCGCACGGGAACGAGTCCTTACACTGATAGGTTCGATAGGCGCTGATAAGTTTGAGAGGCACTGACAGGTCTGATAGGTGGTGGTTGGCACTTACAATGGCAGAGAGCGGCTGGATGGGCGTGGGGAGGAGGGCGGGAGTGCTCATGGCTTTCTGAACCAGTCGGATGGGAACGAGTGAGTCTTCCACACTGTCGTGGTGTGATGTGCTGCCTTGGCGCATCTTGTACCCCAGGTCTCGCTGAAACAGCGGGAGGTAGGAGATGGGGGAGGGGTGAGGGAAGGCTGGTGGTCGCTTGAAGCACTTGGACGGGAACGAGTGAGTCTTCCACACTGTCGTGGTGCGATGTGCTGCCTTGGCGCATCTTGTACCCCAGGTCGTGCTGCAATGCACGAGAGGAGAGGGGAGGGGGAAGAAGAGAGAAAGCTGGTTCTCTGTTAATGCACTCGGTCGGGAGTCAACCAGTTCTCCACACTGTCGTGGTGTGATGTGTCGCCCTGCCGCATCTTGTAGCCCATATCACGCTGCAATACAGAAGGGGGAGAGAAGGGGAGAGAGAAGGTTGGTATTTTGTTGACGCCGAGGGCCTTCTGAACCAGTCACACGGGGATTAGGGAGTCCTCCACACTGTCGTGGTGGGACGTGTCGCCCTGCCGCATCTTGTACCCTAGGTCGCGCTGCAAGGGTGGAGAGATGGATGGGTGATGTAGGTAACTTGTTGAGGGGCAATAGGGCGGGGATTAGTGAGTCCTCCACACTGTCGTGGTGGGATGTGCTGCCCTGCCGCATCTTGCAGCCCATATCACGCTGCAATACATGAGGGGAAGAGGGGGGAGGGGTGCGATGAGATCAGGTTGGGAGTTTGTTGAGGCTCTTGGACGGGAATCAGTGAGACCTCCACACGGTATTGTCCTGGTGCAGGACAATAACATGCCTTGGGCTACAAGGTGCGGCACATGCAATGCAAGCAACAACGGAGAGCAGCTGTACGATGGATATGAGAGAGAGACTGTTAAATTGGCGGAAAATAGAGGGCTTGGATTGGAGCTGAATTGGAATTGAATCGTGCAAGTGTGAACACGACTTACCAGGGCGACGAGGGCCAGGGGTAGTTGAACGGTAGACATATTAGAGTCCATTTGATGCATAGCGGAAGAGAGAGAGCTGGTGTAGAGGCACCATCATACCGTGAGCATGACGTACCAGAGCAACGAGGGCCAGGGGTAGTTGCACGGAAGACATATGGGAGTCCATTGATGAATAGCGATGAGTCGATGACCAACCCAAGGCCATCAATGCCAATGCAAGGCCACGCAGTGAGTGAGGAGTACTCACCAGAGCGACAAGAGCCAGGGGTAGTTGCACGGTAGACATGTGGGAGTCCATTGATGAATAGCGGAAGAGAGACGGGCTCGGGGTTGAGGTGGGATAGAATAGCATGCAGTGAAGTACTCACCAAGGCAACAAGGGCCAGGGGTAGCTGAACAGTAGACATGTTGGAATTCATTGATGAATAGCGGAAGAGAGAGGGGCTTGGGGTTGAGGTGGGATAGAATAGCATGCAGTGAAGTACTCACCAAGGCAACAAGGGCCAGGGGTAGCTGAACAGTAGACATGTTGGAATCCATTGATGAATAGCGGAAGAGAGAGGGGCTTGGGGGGTTGAGGTGGGATAGAATAGCATGGAGTGAAGTACGCACCAAGGCGACAAGGGCCAGGGGTAGCTGCACGGTGGACATGTTGGAATCCATTGATGAATAGCGGAAGAGAGAGGGGCTTGGGGGGTTGAGGTGGGATAGAATAGCATGGAGTGAAGTACTCACCAAGGCGACAAGGGCCAGGGGTAGCTGCACGGTGGACATGTTGGAGTCCTTTGAGGCATGGCGGGCGAGCAGTGATGTGTCGATGACCAACCCCATGCCATGCAGTGCCAACCAACCCAAGGCCATGCTCTGAGTTACTTACTAGAGCAACGAGAGCCAGGGGTAGCTGCACGGTGGACATATTGGAGTCCATTGATGCATAGCGGTAGAGCAGCGATGTGTCGATGACCAGCGGGTGGTCTATCTTGAGTACTGCATGGGATGGCATGGGATGGGATGAGATGGCAAGGAATGGCACGGATTGGGATGGCATGGCATGGCATGGCATAGACACACACAAACACCAACAATACCCATGCACGTAAACAAGCACGCATAAGGGCATGCCAGCACAACATGCGTGCGATCAGTCAGATAAGGGACAGGACATGGAACATTAGGTATGTATGTCATGTTGTTGATGCATCTTTTTCCTCGTCAGTCATGAGAATTTCCATGCCATGACATGACATATCATACGATATCAAATCAAACCATTCCAAAGCAAAGAGGAACACATTTGTCCTCTTCTTCAACCAAACTGCACACTATCCACGTCAGCAACAGCACGCCATCCACGTCAGCAACAGCACGCCATCCACGTCAGCTGCCTCACCATCCATGTCACCAGACACGTGATGCCCCACGAGCACGGTGGTGGGGGTTAAGAGAGCCGCCACATCACGCTGAAAGAAAAGGCAAGGAAATGAAACAGCATAGGACACATTGTCAGAAAAAACAGGCGGGAAAGAGAACAAACAGCAGATGATAGCGCCAGAAAGCTGTTGTTTCAAACGCTCGGAGAGCGTCAGAGAGCGGTGACTGAACCATTGTCAATTTTGTGGGTGCGTGTGTGGGCGGGCGCGGGTAGGTGACTTTTGAGGCGCCTCAAAGAGCAGAGGATAGCGTCAGAGAGCTGCTGTTTCAAACGCTCAGAGAGCGTCAGAGAGCGGTGACTGTACCACTGCCAATTTTGTGGGTGCGTGTGTGGGCGGGCGCGGGTAGGTGACTTTTGAGGCGCCTCAAAGAGCAGAGGATAGCGTCAGAGAGCTGCTGTCCCTTTGTCAATTCTGTGGGTGCGTGCGTGGGCGAGTATTTTTGAGGCGCCTAAAAAATCGCCTTAAAAGTCGTTTTGAGGCGCCTCAAACAGCAGATGATAGCGTCAGGGAGCTGTCCCATTGTCAATTCTGCGGGTGCGTGCGTGGGTGGGCGCGGGTGGGCGCGTGGGTGGGCACGGGCGCGTGCGTGCGTGCGAGTGTTTGTGTGAGCATCACACGCACCTGTGCGTCCTCCCACGTGTATTGGACCTTCTTGAAATCCGCCTCCTTCAGCCCAGTGATCTCCAAAGTGACCCGTGGATCAACAAGCACATCACACGCACACGCACACGCACACAACGCACACGCACACAACGCACACACACACGCACACAACGCATCGCACCTGTGCGTCCTCCAAAGTGTATGTGACCTTCTTGAAATCCTCCTCCTTCAGCCCAGTGATCTCAGTCACGTACGACTACACTTCCCTCGCGCACGCACCCACTCCTGTGACCTTCAAATCCTCCTCCTTCAACCCGGTGATCTCAGTCACGTACAATTTCACTTCCCTCGCGCGCACGCACCCCCACCACCCCCCCCCCCCCCCCCTCCCTCCCTCTCCCTCTCCCTTCCCCCCCACACACAGAAAATGTACGCACCTGTGCGTCCTCCCACGTGTATGTGACCGTCTTGAAATCCCCCTCCTTCAGCCCAGTGATCTCAGTCACGTACGACTTCACTTCTCGCTGTGGTTTCACCAGCCGATCCAACAGCACCTGCAAGGGAAGAGAGGGGGAGAGGGAAGACGAAATGAGAATGAGAAAGAAGAACATTGGAGAGATTGCAGTTGGCATGTTCAGACGACTCTTCCTTCAGCCCCGTGATTGCAGTCGCGTACGATTTCACTTCTCGTTGTGGCTTTACCAGCCGATCCAACAGCACCTGCAGAGAAAGGGGCGGGAGTGAAGGTGGGTAAGGAGGGGAGTGAGGGTGGGGAGTAAGGGTGGGGAGTAAGGGTGGGGAGTGAGGGACGTTATCAAGGAAAGTATGTACCAACGGCAGGTAGCACCTCTGCTCTGCTCCTTCAACCCCATGCTCTCAGTCACATGTGAGTCTGACCATGTGACTGACATCACGGGGTCTCTTTTGAGGCGCCTCAACGGTAGCACTTGTGCTCCTTCAACCCCATGATCTCAGTCACATATGACCCTGTGACTGACATCACGGGGTCTCACCTTGCCGTCCACCACAGAAACCCTCGTCAGCTCCATGGGTTCCTCATCGTCCCATGTCTCACACATCTCACAGTCCATCCCCACCAACCTCAGCTTCCCCTTCCATCAGACATTTCACCGCATTGCACCGCATTACACCGCTCAGCACCGCACTGCACCGGGTCTCACCTTGCCCTTGCCATCCACCACAGAAACCCTTGTCAGCTCCATGGGCTCTTCATCATCCCACGTCTCACACATCTCACAGTCCATCCCCACCAGCCTCAGCTTCTCTCTCCCCTCACCACTGCACCAAACCACATTGCACCGCACTGCACCGAATTGAACCCCACTGCACCGCACTGCACCGTGCCTCACCTTGCCTTCGCCATCCACCACAGAGACCCGTGTCAGCTCCATGGGCTCTTCATCGTCCCACGTCTCACACATCTCACAGTCCATCCCCAGCAGCCTCAGTTTCTCCTTCCAACACCATCGCTCCACTCCACCGCACTGGACCGCATTACACCACACTTCACCGCACTGCACCGCACTTCACCGCACTGCACCGTGTCTCACCTTGCCATTCCCGTCCACCACAGAGACCCGTGTCAGCTCCATTGGCTCCTCATCGTCCCACGTCTCACACATCTCACAGTCCATCCCCACCAGCCCTGATAACCCTACATAACCATTGCACCAAATCGCACAGCACCTCATTGCACCACATGCCACCGTTCAACACCGCACTGCACCGAGTCTCACCTTGCCCTTGTCGTCCACCACAGAGACTCGTGTCAGCTCCATGGGCTCTTCATCATCCCACGTCTCACACATCTCACAGTCCATCCCCACCAGCCTCAGCTTCTCCCTCCCCTCACCACTGCACCAAACCACATTGCACCGCACTGCACCGAATTGAACCCCACTGCACCACACAGTACCGCATTACACCGCACTGCACCGTGCCTCACCTTGCCCTTCCCATCCACCACGGAGACCCTCGTCAGCTCCATGGGTTCCTCATCATCCCATGTCCCACACATCTCACAGTCCATCCATCCCCACCAGCCAGCCTTGCCATTCGCATCTCATCAATTCACCACACCTCACCACCCAGCACCTCCTTTCACCACACTTCACCGCACTGCACCGCGTCTCACCTTGCCTGTGCCATCCACCACAGAGACGCGTGTCAGCTCCATGGGTTCCTCATCATCCCACGTCTCACACATCTCACAGTCCATCCCCACCAACCTCAGCTTCTCCCTCCCTTCCTTCAACTTTCCCTTCTCGTTCCCCTTCTCCCTCCCCTTCTCGTTCTCCTTCTCCTTCCCCTTCGCCTTCCCCTCCTTCCCCTTTGCCTTCCCCTTCTCCTTTCCTCCCTCTGCTTCCTTCCCTCCCTCTGCCTTCTCTTCCTCCTCCTTCTCGACGTTGCTTTCTGCAGTTTGATCGGTACAAACCCAGCCCTGGGGGGGGAAAGAGTGATCATAGATGGCATGGCGCAGCAAAACATGCGGTCAGATGAGTAATCATAGGATACATACATATATGAACAAGTAAACTTGGCTTGGGGGGGTGCAGAGAAGTGAACCCAGAGAAGAGCAGCCATCAAGCACGCGAGGAATTGAATTTCAGAAGTGACTTTTGAGTCGACTCAAAAGTCACCTCGCATAAAAGAGTGAATGTAGTCCGAGCAAAGGACAGGAAATGCCACCAAGCACTTTTGAGAATTCTCAAAAGTGATTTCAATAAAAGAGTGAATATAGTCCGAGCCGAGCAAAGGACAGGAAATGCCACCAAGCAACTCAGGGACAGTAAGAAGCCTGTTCAATACCAGAAGCAAAAAATGGAACTTTGGGTACATTATGCTCGTTTGAGACGTCTCAAAAGACATTATGCTGTTTCGCGGCTCAATAATCAACACATTGATTAACATTGTGCTTTCTGAACACATCCATGCCACTGTTTAGAGAGTAAGCCACAGCTGGTTCGTGCCAGACAGGCTTCCACTGGAACCAACCCTGGATGGTTGGACAAGGGGGTTGGGCAGGCTTCCGATGAATGTACCATTTTCGTACATCACTGCCATACATCACTCTGGATACATCCGAGTCCTACGTTGAAACCACAAATGAAGCTGCATGAACAACTTACCTCCATGAATAATTGGAATGTGAACGCTTTCTTGTAGCGGCAGTGAGCACGAGTTTTGAGGCGTCTCAAAAGTCATCTCAAAATTCGTCTCAAAAGTCTTACATGCGGACCTACCTCCATGAATGATGGAAATGTGAAGGCCTTCTTGTAGCGGCAGTGGGTGCGAGTGCATCGAAGCAACCACTAGAGGGGATGGAGGGACAGGATGCAATGGTGGGGTGGGAGATGAGATGGCGAAATGTAAACACGCGTAGGGATATTAGGTATACTCACTTATGATCTACTCTACTCACATCTGAATCTACTCACTCTTGAGACATTTCCAAAGGTAGAGAGAATAAAGCGTTGAACCTAGACAACCCACCATGATCGTCCCTGCACATTCTCAGGCACCAACCATGAGGATCTTCTTTCTGTTTGCCTCTATCTATCCCAGACTCTCAAAACGACCTCTTCGCCTCCCTTTCTAAAAATGTCCTCTCCTTACCTCTCCCTTGCACTGTATGCGTATCTTCTGCTTGGGAATTCTAAAGCACCAACCCTCTCACCAGAATCTCATCCCAGCCTCTGCAAACGACCTCCTTGCCCCTCTCTCTTAAATGTCCCCTCCTTACCCTTACTCTGAACAGCCCCAGAGTTCTCCTTCCCTCACCAACCAGCTCACCGTGATCTTCTTGTTGCTCTCCTTCATTCCAGCCTCTGCAAAAGACCCTTTCCCCTCCCGCTCCTCCCTCTGCTGCTGCAACGCTCTGTGCTGCTGTAGCAACTGTGTATGAATGGGAGGGGAAACGGGAGGAAGCAAGAAGGGAGAAGAAAATGAGCGAGTGAACATTGTATGTGCATCCCTCTCGTCTCCTCCCCTGCTGCTGCAACGCTCTGTGCTGCTGTAGCAACTGTGTACAGGAGCAGTCAGGTATGGGGCGGAAGCAGAAAGGGGGAACAAAAGAAACGAGTGAACAATCTAAGGGACCTAACCAGCCCAGCCTAACCACCTTTTTTGCCTTCCTCTCCAGACTCCAGCTACCCTCTCTCTCTCCTGCTCCAACTCTCTCTCTCTGCTTTTGAGGCGCCTAAAAAAACAATCTAAGGGACCTAACCAGCCTAACCACCTCTTTTGCCTTCCTCTCCAGACTCCAGCTATCCTCTCTCTCTCCTGATCCAACTCTCTCAAGCGGTCTGTGTATTAGATCCAAGCAAGTACAGACATGCAAAAGGATAGAGAAAGCACATACAGTTCAGCCTCTAACCCCCATATCCTACTCACCCCCCCCCCCCGCTCCGTCTAAGGGAGCTCCAACTCTCTCTCTCTCTCTGTTGCTCCAGTCCAGTGTTCGCTGATGCTCCAACGCTCATGATAAGTGTGAGTTTGAGGACTAAAGTTTTCTGCTCCAATTCTCAAGGCACAAAATAGCGCCAGTGAGAGAATTGCATATATGTTGCTCAATGCACATTGCACAAGGTTCACATTGCACACGGTTCACATTGCACACGGTTCACATTGCACACGGTTCACATTGCACACGGTTCACATTGCACACGGTTCACATTGCACACGGTTCACATTGCACACGGTTCACATTGCACACGGTTCACATTGCACAAGTTTCACATTGCACAAGTTTCACATTGCACAAGGTTCACATTGCACACGGTTCACATTGCACACGGTTCACATTGCACAAGGTTCACATTGCACACGGTTCACATTGCACACGGTTCACATTGCACAAGGTTCACATTGCACACGGTTCACATTGCACACGGTTCACATTGCACACGGTTCACATTGCACACGGTTCACATTGCACACGGTTCACATTGCACACGGTTCACATTGCACACGGTTCACATTGCACACGGTTCACATTGCACACGGTTCACATTGCACACGGTTCACATTGCACACGGTTCACATTGCACAAGGTTCACATTGCACACGGTTCACATTGCACACGGTTCACATTGCACACGGTTCACATTGCACACGGTTCACATTGCACAAGGTTCACATTGCACACGGTTCACATTGCACACGGTTCACATTGCACACGGTTCACATTGCACACGGTTCACATTGCACACGGTTCACATTGCACACGGTTCACATTGCACACGGTTCACATTGCACACGGTTCACATTGCACACGGTTCACATTGCACAAGGTTCACATTGCACACGGTTCACATTGCACACGGTTCACATTGCACACGGTTCACATTGCACACGGTTCACATTGCACAAGGTTCACATTGCACACGGTTCACATTGCACACGGTTCACATTGCACACGGTTCACATTGCACACGGTTCACATTGCACAAGGTTCACATTGCACAAGGTTCACATTGCACACGGTTCACATTGCACACGGTTCACATTGCACACGGTTCACATTGCACAAGGTTCACATTGCACACGGTTCACATTGCACACGGTTCACATTGCACACGGTTCACATTGCACACGGTTCACATTGCACACGGTTCACATTGCACACGGTTCACATTGCACACGGTTCACATTGCACACGGTTCACATTGCACACGGTTCACATTGCACACGGTGCACATTGCACACGGTTCACATTGCACACGGTTCACATTGCACAAGGTTCACATTGCACAAGGTTCATTCACCTTCTTCACTCGGAAATTCCCAGCCTCTTCCAGCGATGCAACAACCCCCCCCCCACCAGCACCCATGGCTGCCTGCCTGCCCACCGGCTCCCAGAAACCTCTCTCTCGGTCAGTTCACCAGCTGACAGACAGAGCATAGAGCAACATGCAATGCAATGCAGCCAATGCAGCCAATGCAGCCAATGCAACCATGCGTCCCACACACTTCTTGACTCGGAAATTCCCAGCTTCTTCCAATGATGCAACAAACCCCGCCACCAGCACCCACGGCTGTCTGTTTACAGGCTGACTGGCGCAGTATGGAAGGAAATGCAACCCATGCAGCCAAGCCAAGCCAAGCACCCCGCTCACCTTCTTGACTCAGAAGTTCGCAGCCTCTTCCAGCGATGCCACAACGAACCCCGCTACCAGCACCCACGGCTCAAGTCAATCTACCATACAATCCGTCTCAATGTAAGGTATGTGCTATGTGCCCCTCCCTCACCTCACACACACACTCACCTTCTTGGCTCGAAAATTCCCAGCCTCTTCCAACGATGTCACAAACCCCGCCACCAGCACCCACGGCTGTCTGCTCTCAGGTGACTGGCAGGTGCGGTGTGAAATGCAACCCGTGCAACCATACATACAGCCATGCGTCTCACTCACCTTCTTGACTCGGAAATTCCCAGCCTCTTCCAGCGATGCCACAAACCCCGCCACCAGCACCCAAGGCTGCCGGCTCACAGGCTCCCAGAAGCCTCCCCCTCCCCCACCTCCCCCTCCCCATCCCCTCCCCCCTCCTCCCCCTCCCCCAAACCCCCTTCCCCCCGCACCACCTCCCCCCATTCCTCCCCTCCCCCCTCCGCCCCTTCCCCCTGCTCCTCCCCCGAATCCCCTGCCTCCGCCCTTCCCCCAGGGGCGCTTTTGGAGGGGAAGGGTTCTCCCCCTGCCCTGCAGCCACGTCCCCCAGTCCCCCTTGCTGCCCCACGCGCCCCTCCTCACTGCATCCAGTGCTATCGCTGCCAGCACCTGCAGGGGCGGGGCGGATAGGTCACAAGAGAGGGCAAGCACGGAACAGAAGCATGTGCTGTGCAGTCAACAGCAGCACTTGTGTGTAAATGGGGGAGGAGCGGAAGGAGCCTCCCCCTGCCCTGCAGCCACGCCCCCCAGTCCCCCTTGCTGCCCCACGCGCCCTCCTCCTCACTGCATCCACCGCTATTGCTGCCACAAAACCCTAAACCGGCAAAGCTCTCCACCCTTCCCCCTCTCCCCCCACCACCTCCCCACCTCCCCCCTTCTCCCCAACCCCCCCCCTGCTCCCCCTCTTTCTCACCAGCCTCCAAATACCCTCTCTCTTCCCGTAAAACCCTCTTTGTTGCACCCATGTCCCTGGAACGAATTTTAGTCGCATCCAACCACCCCACACCCCGTTCCTTCCCCCCCTCCTACATCCCCTCGTTCCCACCCTCCCTCCCCTCCCCGTCCTTGTAGCGCCCTCAGTTCTACCTTCTCCCTCTCCTCCTCTCATCTCCTCCCCCGCTCCCAAATCCCCACTCAAATCCCCCCTCACACCTTAAAATCGTCCTCCTTGTACCCTTGCGCCTTCAGCGCTTCTCTCTCTCTCTCTGCTCCCTCCTCCCCCATCTCCCTCCCCCACACCTCCCTCCCCCCCCCTCCCCTCCCCCCACACAGGTTCCCCACGCTCACCTTGAAATCCTCCTCCTTGTACCCTTGCGCCCTCAGCTCTTCCTTCCCCCTCTCCTCCTGCCGCTGCGCCTCGGTCATCCCCGCTTCTCTCGCCCGCTTCGCCTCTTCCGCTCTCCCCGCTCCCCCCGCTTTCCCCGCCGGCTGCGCATCTGATCGTTCCGCACGCCCCTTCTTAGTATTCCCCTTTTTCTTATCCTTCTTAAGCTCATTCTTAGACTCCTTTATCCCTTTTTTGGCGGACTTTCCTGGACCCTTCCGCGACGCGTTCTCTCGTTCCGCGACCAATGCGTTTACGTCCTCGTCTAGAGAAATCCCTTTAAAAATATAAGACGAATTGTCCCCTTCCCCCGAGCCCACGTCGCCCTTTTCGTTCTTCCGCTCGTCTTTGGCGGAAGCCGCCACAGCGGACCTCTCCGCCGCGCCTTCCGCTGTCACTTCCGCCTTCCGCGAAACTTTCCGCCGCTTCGCGGAGCCATCCGCTCCGCCAGCACCCGCTGCGCCTCCGCCTACCTCCGCATTGGCCCCGTCAGCTTCCCCGGCGGAGGTTTTCCGCTTACGCGGAGATTTTTCCGCCTTCTGCTCCGCGCGCGCGCGCGGGGACTTCTTGGCGGAGCTCGAGCTTCCCATTCTCTCCGCCTGCGCGGAGACCACGGATTTCCACCCTCGGCAAACAGTAAACGCGACAACCGGGAAGCTTAGCGATCCGGGAACGTCGTCTCGGAGAACGGAAGCGAAATTGTCGAAGTCGGGAGAACACAGTCAGCGGACAGAGTCCAGAGGGATTTAGGGGGGACCGTTTGGGCTAAAACCCGAAACCCCCGATTGCCTGCTTCGCACCGTGATGACCCGAGGTGTGATTCTAAGGACGCGGTACAACTTCGTTGAAGGACAAATCAGGGAGGGTTGATGAACGGGCAGTACCAACCGAAGGTAACCGAAGTTCCCTGCCCACTCAAATTGTGACTACAGCGGTTGCCGTTCATCCCTGAAAAAAAATCCAGCTGAACTAAAAGTGTGACTAGAGTGAGCGTCCCTCGGGAATGCCGTCACCACAAATTCTCGGGTGGCACCACACACCAAGCCCAAAGCTCACTCTTCTCAAGTTTGTCTCTGGAATGTCGAGTTTCACACGAATCTTGAGTGTTGGGTTGGGTCGCGCAAAAGTCTCGAGTTCTGACACCACAAGCCTAGAAACGTGAGCACGAGAGATTAGGTTTCCAAGGATTTTCTTCGTTTGGGTTTTCACTGCGTCTTTAAAGATTAGCGACGTCGAAACAGGCAGGTTGCGGAACGGTCGCGGTTTGGATTATGCCAGGAAGGAAAGTATCATTCGCTGCGGAGGGAGAGAAGGTCTGGACTCATGGGCTCTGCAGCTGCTGGATGGCTGGACATTACAGGTAATATGTTTCAGAAAAGAACGGCTACTAGAGATAATAGCATGTTCCAGGTAATGCGTCACAGCTGTCGACGCGTTTCTGAGTTCACGCTACTACATTGAAGTTGTTTGTCGTAGTCGACAACACGGCTATGAGATGCGGAAAAAAAGAACGATTTTCTCATATTACGAGAGGCTAGATGACTTTTGAGTCGACTCAAAAGTCATTTTGAGTCGACTCAAAAGATTCTCTCAAATTTCTTAGAATTCCACATTGACGGCGTCGCAGGTACGAGAGGCTAGGACGACGGAGCGGGCTGCGAAATGAAGAAAGATAGTAGACGCTCGTCTCATCCCGCACAATGGGAGCGTTTTTATCCGAGGATTTTCAGAAAACGTCTACACCAACGAGGACGATGGAGCGGGCTGCGAAATGAAGAATGATAGTAGAGGCTCGTTCTTGTTCCACGCAGTGGGGACGTTAAGTCTACTCTCGAGGCGCGTATTTGTTAGGCGCCTCAAGAATCGACATACTTCGTCGATTCAGAATTATACGTTGAAGAAAACCTGAAAAACGGGCTGATGCGGAAAATGCCGTGGAGCTAAAGTAAATGCTCGTTTCGTTTATACGGATTGCTTTACGCGATTGTATGAGCAGTCGTGCCGTCTCGTTTTACACAATAAACGCATCAACTTTCGGTGACGCTGTGAATGCTGTATTTAAAGCCATCGTCGAGTGGGCTGCTGCCCAAAATAGGTCCTTAATGAAGTGCCTTCTCGTTTTACAAAATGAGTGCATCAGTGTTCGGCAATTTTCACGGAAAACGGATGTCTGGGTCATCCAGCTCATCCAAACGGCCTGGGAATCCAGTTCATGCGACGAGACTCTATCTGAAAATGTAGTGTAGGTTGATTCCTTCTGTTCGCAAACCAGCGACTTCCAACGTTTGAGCTATCCGCAGTAGGGAGGGGGGAGGAGGGGAAGGGGAGGAGGGAGGAGGGAGAGGAGGGGTGGGCGGAGGAGGCATTGTGGTGGGGGAGGGGATGTTTGTAAACAGTGAAGCATGCAAATTAAGGGGAAATCAGAAAGGGAAAAAAGGTGAAGTATGAGGGGCAGTGATGCCTTAAAGCATGCTCGCAAATGAGATTGTGAGGCGCTGGATTTGACGATTTTCACAACTAACCACTTCGTTCCCCTCTCCCTTTTGTCCTGCTTAACACAGAGCCATCCATCCGTGTCTTACCTCCAAGCCCCTGGCTTTTGAGTCGACTCAAAAGTCATCTCCCTATCGTCCTGCTTAACACAGAGCCATCCATCCGTGTCTTACCTCCAAGCCTCTCGCCTTCCTCTTAACCAACCCCCTCTCCCAATTCACCCTCCTTATTCTCGCCCTTTCTCCCTTTTGACCTGCTTAACACAGAGCCATCCATCCGTTTCCCACCTTTAAGCCTCTCGCCTTTCTCTTAACCAACCCTACTCCCAATTCAACCCCCTTCCCCTTTTGTTCCTTGTCAGCCGTCGGATGCAAGGGTCTGACGGACACGGAGCTCTACGGGTGGCAGGACCCGTATGTGGTGCTGCAGTACGGCTCCCATAACAAGCGCACGGCCACGCACAAAGGTGGGTTGGGTTGAGTTCACGGACGGTAACAGCAGGTCGGGAGCAAGCAGTAGCAAAGCAGGCGGGGCACGGAGCTCTATGGCTGGCTGGCTGGCAGGACCCTTGTGTGGTGCTGCAGTACGGCTCACAGGACAAGCACGCGGCCACCCACCAAGTGAGTTGGGGTTACAGAGGGTAAACAGCAGGCCGGGAGCCGTTGCAAAGGCAGGCATGTAGCTCTATGGCTGACAGGCAGGACCCTTATGTCATTCCTGTCATTTCCTGTATTCTCTGTCCTCCTGTTCCTTCCCTGCTCTTCAGACGGCCACACGACCCCCCAGTGGAACGAGAAAATCCGCATCAACTACCAACCAAACGTGTTTGACCTGACTGTGGGCGTGTGGAACGAGAACACCTTCACCCAAGACAGTCCCATTGGCGGCTGCAAGTGAGTGTAGAGATGGGCAAGGCGAGGGCGGTTTCTGTGTGCGAGATCGCATGTGAGCATACATTATACATACACTACCAGCCCAACGTGTTCTTTCAGTTCCGCCTCTCCTCCATCATTCCTCTACTCAACCCCTCCTTGCTCCTCCGTTTTCACTTTTCTTCGCAGGGTGAGCATCACCCAAGCCCAGGCTCTAACTGCATGGGTGTCTGACATGTGACGTGGCGTCCTCTTCAGTCCCTCCTCTCCTCTCCTCAACCCCTCCTTCCTCCTCCGTTTCTCCACATGTCCTTCACAGGGTGAGCATCACCCAAGCTTTGGATGCAGGGGTGTTTGATGCGTGGCATCCTCTTTACACATCAAAGCAAGTGTGAGTGATGTGATAGAGCTCTTTAGCTTCTCGAAATACACTCCACCCCCGCACTTTAACTTTGAGCAAAGTGCCAATGTCTCTCTCAATCAACACTTGCATACTCTGAACCCAAGACCTGAAACCCTGAACCCTGCGTGCTGTAAACGGGTGTCCAGCTCGTACGCTTACAGTTCAGCTGTCATACGTCAGAAACGGTTTCACACGGTGGAAAGCGCCTTTTGAGCTTCACCTAACACATTTTTTAGGCGCCTCAAAAGTCGGTGGAAAGCGCCTTTTGAGCTTCAGCCTTCACCGAATACACCGCGGTGACTTTTGAGTCGACTCAAAAGTCACACGGTGGAAAGCGGCTTGGCTTTTGAGCGTCACCGAATACACACTGCAACACAACGAACTACACCGCACAAGGAACGGGCAAGAGGCATACGAGAGGCGTACGAGCTGGACAGCCCTTAAGAAAGAGCATATCCCATTCATGTGCTTTAGCTTGCGCGCCTTTTCCTCCAACTCTCACCACTCTAACAAATCTACGTCTGTCTGTGACCCGCCTTCCTTCACTCGCCGCTTGCAGGAAGAAGGGCAGCATTCGCCTGATCATCAAATACCATCCGGTATACCCCACTACTCAGAAACTCGTGCTCTGCCCCATGTCTTACCTCATGTCTTACCATCAATTCATGCCCTAAGGCTGGGTCCTGAGTAATCTCAAAATCGAGTTTTGAGATAACCCAAAGCATGCCTCGTGCCTTGCCATCGCCTCATGTCACATTGCACACATCTGCACACCTTTACATACCTCTTTTTCCTCTTGACCAAAAGTTGGTCCCGGCTGCTCCGATTAGGCCCATGCTTTTCCGGTTTTGGGGCCAGGGATTTCCTGGGTTAGGCCAGGTCTGTCCTGGGTTGGGCCATGGCTGTACTAGTTTGGATCATGGCTGTCCTGGGTTGGGCCAGAGCTGCAGTAAATTCAGGCATTCACGCATTGCATTCAGGCAGTGCATTCAGGCATTCAGGCAGTGCATTCAGGCATTCAGGCATTGCATTCAGTGCATTCAGGCATTTAGGCATTCAGGCATTGCATTCAGGCATTCAGGCATTGCATTCAGGCATTCAGGCATTCAGGCATTGCATTCAGGCATTCAGGCATTGCTTTCAGGCATTCAGGGCATTCAGGCATTCAGGCAGTGCATTCAGGCATTCAGGCATTCAGTGCATTCAGGCATTGCTTTCAGGCATTCAGGCATACAGGCATTGCATTCAGGCATTCAGGCATTGCATTCAGGCATTCAGGCATTCAGGCAGTGCATTCAGGCATACAGGCATTCAGTGCATTCAGGCATTTAGGCATTCAGGCATTGCATTCAGGCATTCAGGCATTCAGGCATTGCATTCAGGCATTCAGGCATTGCATTCAGGCATTCAGGCATTGCATTCAGGCATTCAGGTATTGCATTCAGGCATTGCATTCAGGCATTGCATTCAGGCATGTAGGCATTGAATTCAGGCATTCAGGCATTGCATTCAGGCATTGCATTCAGGCATGTAGGCATTGAATTCAGGCATTCAGGCATTGCATTCAGGCATTCAGGCAGTGCATTCAGGCATTCAGGCATTGCATTCAGGCATTCAGGCATTGCATTCAGGCATTCAGGCATTGCATTCAGGCATTCAGGCATTGCATTCAGGCATTCAGGCATTGCTTTCAGGCATTCAGGCATTGCATTCAGTTCATTCAGGCAGTACATTCAGGCATTCAGCCAGTGCATTCAGGCATTCAGGCAGTGCATTCAGGCATTGCATTCAGTGCATTCAGGCATTTAGGCATTGCATTCAG